GTGATTAAAAAACATACATGGCAACACAGAGGTATATTGCTGATGCAGAATGTACCATTTAAAATTCAACCAAACAACAACCACTTGTACACTACAAAAAGAAATCAGAAGCATGTCCACCCCTGCGTAACAGAATCTCCCAACTTCCCACGTGACACTTGAATCAAAGTGACTCTGTTTACTAGGCAGCTGTCCACACAGATTTCTCATAACCTGTGAAGACAATCAGATCGTGTGTTCATTCTCGAATGTTATTATATATCAAAATCGTTTGCTGCTATTCGCGACTCACTTAGCAATACGTATGCTGATAAGAAAGTGGCCAATAAAATAACAATACACGGTCCGGTAACAAAATTTGGGACATCGGCGACCAAAACTTTTCAGTATCCTTAGTAACGTGTCGAAGGGCACTGTCACACAATATTAAAACTGCATAAGACTGCGATCCTTCACGAGCTTGCGCTTGACGACCCATCCTGAACAAATTGAGAAATGTGAAGACGATTTATCACTTAAGAACTTCATAAAAATTGTCAAACTCTAAACCACGAAGCCAAAATTAAAAACGACGAATTTAAAATAACACGCCAAGTCATTCCAAAAAATCTTGTTTATAATTGCAGTACTTTGCTTATCCTTTACGTCAGAACACACAGACAGAACATTTAAGAAGTCTGGCTCTATGGACGCCATTTATACGTGTACAATATGTGGTCCTACAAAACGACTAATAGTCTATTTACAATAGTCCCTTACCTTATAGCTGCGTCTTCAGTGTCACTCCACCAAATTCTATCACATTAAAGTCACAGCATGCATTTTTATATCAAGAAACTGGATGTAAACAATTCTCACAGCACATAGACCACTAGCCACAAGCACATTAGCCAGGATTTATTTCATACACACTTCACTTACGCAACGCAGGATATGTTCAACTACAAAATAAACACGTGAAACATAACGCGAACAAACACCACGGTACACAATTGAATGATGGGTAATTGGAGAAACATTGGGGGGGGGGGATTTGTCATACCATTGCACACAGCCACCCCTCTCCGATAAGAGGAGTATACACTGAAGACAAGCAATGCTCCCTGTATCAGGTAGGTAGTGACTTTCCGATAGAAGTATTTGGCTACCTGCTGTGACTAGTTTTGCCTGGACGCTATACATTTAATAGCTTTCGTGTTGTTTTACAGGAACACAAACGAAAGACAATTATTTTTTACTTTGTAGATTATTCTCGCATTAACAACCGTAAATAAACAATTATATATTTTTGTTAAAACTTTGACTACTTCATAGAAAACATTAAATTGTAAGATTTGAGGTTTTCACAGCAGTGAGTATGAAGATTTCTGTCTTCAAACATTAAATTGTTGGAATGTTCTCCGCTGTGCGTCACTAGTCGACGTGCATTCGTTGCATCAATCAAGAGAATTTTGATCTCAAGTCTTGAATTAGGGAACACAAACGAAAGACAATTATTGTTTACTTTGCAGATTATTCTAGCATTAACAACCGTAAATAAACAATTATAGATTTTTGTTAAAACTTTGGCTACTTAATAAAAAAATTAAATTGTTGGAACGTTCTCCGCTGTGCGTCACTAGTCGACATGCATTCGCTGCATCAATCAAGAGGATACTGATTTCATGTCTTGAATTAGCTTTGTACTCGTTACTAGCAGCACCTGTGAACACTCGTGGTGGGAAGAAGTAAGGTGTCGCCAACTGGAAGACGAAATTTGAGCGTAAATACTGATGATGTCATCTTTGATAGTAATTATTACATTTAATCAATTAATGCTGCGGCGAATGTTCATAGAAGTAAGCTAAAATCTATTTAATCTTTATTACTAACGCAGTTATTATACTTTTGTTAAAACTTGGACTGCTTAATTAAATATGTTAAATTGTTGGTTTGTTTCCCGCTGTGCGTCTCTGTAGTCGACATGTATTCGCTGTATCAATCAAGATGATTCTTATTTCACGTCTTTAAAGAGTTTTGCGCTCGTTTCCAGCAGTAACTATAAATACCTGTGGTGGGAGAAAGTTAGGTGTCGCCAACTGGAATAACACGATGGTGTTTGTAGTCCAGATTGAAGTGTCATGCAGTCTTGTAGAAGTTTACCACCGTTTTTGAGGTCCTTGCTGCCTCCATCATCAGGGCGACGATGGAGACAACATGAACCTTTAAAATGATGGTTAACTTCTATCAGATTACATGGCGTTACACCAAAAGACAGCCATTTATGGAACTTCTTTCTTGTTTATCCTAGGCACCTGAAAACAACAGCTCATACAACACCAAGTAAATGTTTTATTATGTTCGAAAATGTATTTATGCTCTCTTGTATTATTTAATTGTAATCGGGTTATCGTTCTTAACTTGTTCACACTTGCGGTGGAAGGTGATAAGGAATATGTCACATCAGTAGCGCATGGACACACCATACTTATTCCCGCCACATGAATACTTCTGCAGCGTTCTTTTTCTTCTGTGCTATAGCAATTGCACAAAGGAACATCTTACCAATGTTGGTATTATCTGTGTATCATGCGAACCAATACAACGAAACTAAACTAGAAGTCACGTGTATTAAGCAGATAAAATATGAATGGTTCGGTGTTTTTAACGTGTTACGTGCATTGTTTGTCATCAAAAATATGATCATGACGACGTGTAAAATCTTTGAATCTAGGTTTAATTTTAATTAAGGTTAAACAATTGTCTCCCGCATTATCTGAAGGATTTAAATACGCTTTAAAATGTATGTGTTGATCCATAAATCTCTTTCAACACAGATGTTATTTTAGAAAGATAAATATTTTATGTTAAGCACATCAAAATTGAAATAATAATAATGAAGAGACCAGCATGATGCAATGTTAATGAGCCACAATCGTAGAGAAATTGTATGTGAGGCCTAACTGTGATTTCAGTCGTTCGTTATGTTTAACAGAAAGCTTAAGAGTGCCTTCAATAGATATTGGCCCCAAATGGTCCCGAGCCCTTGGCTGTATGACAATTGCATCAATAGTAAATTCTCCTCCCATCTTTCGCCTACTTTATGAATTAGCCCACAAACCTCGGTGACTAGATCGAAAATAAAGTTACATAATTTGCGGTAATGAATACAAACGTAAAGCTTGAGAGAGATGTGCGACCATCGATAACACGTTGCATACAAAATTTAATGCTATAATAAACACAGTTGTCAGTCTTGCAATGATCACAATAAATTCCTGATACTACACTTTCTATTTAATACTTGTAGTATTTCATCTTTTTTTCTATAACTTTATTAGTGAAATGGAATAGAATAGAATTTATTTACATTCCATAGATCCTTCACAGGCCCAAGCCAAGGATGTGGAACATGTCATAATACAAATACAGTACTTGTTTCTAATACCAATATAAATTACATAGATATGACAGTAATTTACAGTCAGCTGTATTATGGCAAAAATAATTCCACAAGTAGTAATAAGTCTTAAGTTTTTTCTTTTATAACCACCTATTCATTAACCACAATGTTACTGGAGTTAGGAAATAATTTAGTTGATGAACTAGAAGTGTTAAGATTGCAAAGAAAATCCATTTGGTGCTTTTTTAATAATAGAATTATTTGCAGTTCTAAACAATCAAGTTTTTCTGTAGTTTTAGTATGGTTGTTCCGCTCACTACTCATGAATCTTGGTTCCAGTTGCTTATCACTAGTAAAAAGGCTTATTTCTTTATTAATATACTTACCATGTCATAATAAATATACAAGTAGGACTACTTGCCTACATATACCATAATTTGTGAATTGCCCCTTAATGTTAGAACTTGTAATATTAATTTATTTTAATTTCCTTCATTTACCAAGTCTCCAATCTGAATGTCAAAGTGGGCAAATAGTACATTTCACAAGAAAAGAACTTCTAAAATATCTCACTTTTAAATGTGTCTTGTAGCTTTGGTACTGACAAGTCTACATGGCCCCAAAACCCTGAAGAATGCCATAATTATTGTTCTTGGTGCCATGAACACCTCAAATCCTTTGATGCTTTGATAGATTATACAATATGCACAGGCAGTGTTACTTCACATATCAAGTCCAGATCTCAAGTTATTTTCCATAACATGAAGTAATGTACGTACAATAATCTTTTCTCATAAAATAATAATGTAAAATCTGGAATTACAGTCTGGTGACAATCCAGAAAGGGTTAAGCACATTGCCATCTATGTGATGGTAGTATCGTCCCCAGGCTACCGCAAGTATAAACTTAATTCACGATCTCATCAACTGTTAGTTTAGCTGATAAATTCCTGATGTTTAAACTATATCATCAAAGTGACCAACTACTGGTTTGACTCCTGGGGTTCCGTTCCTACTGTCATACGCAGGGATTCTGCTCTTAACATTCAGAATTACTCTAGAGCCCTTATAGTTTCCTATTTGGTAGGTACCACTGACATCTTTCCCAGGGAAAAAACTGAAAAAGACAGAAGTTAATGAGTCCGCTCCATCCAAGGCGTAAAATCGATGGAACCTTAGATCCACTCTCAACACAGCTTCTATGGCATGGTACAGGACACATTGCCATACAAATTAATAATTTTGTTCATGTCAACATAATTACACTGATAGGCAGTCATACTTTCATTGAAGTTCCCACCAGAATAGCCTGTGAAGTGACAAAGCGTTCTGAGATAGAACAGTGGACAAAATCAAGCAGTCATTTATTCCAGAGTGACAGCTTAATTTTCTCAAGCCTGAATTTGATAGTGATGTCAAGCTGTCACCAATCTTTCTGCTTATCAAACCTGGACATTAAGTTAGAACATGGAATGGATATGAATTGTTGCAGCATACTCAAAATTAGTTTCCATGAACAACACAGATTGAAAAATTCATACATTATAACCTAATTCTATATAACAGTACAGATTTTACATACAGGAAACACTTATTTATATGATGAATAACACAATAATTGTCTTCTAAATTAATAGTTCGTAATTCTGAACATTTATTCACAACAATTCTGTAGACATACAAGGAACATCCATCAGATACCAACTTCTAGGTTCCTACCATAGTATTTGTCTCACACATTGAATATTACAACATTCTGTTCAGTTACTCCTTGTTAACATGTGTTTGGGCAGACTGTACCTCCATCCAGCCCGCAATTGTTTACTGAGTACATGCACTGTCTCTGACATGAAGCTTCTATCAGCAACATTCATGTTCTCTGCAGGATCCAACTGATGGTCATACAGTTCTCGGGCTATAACATATTTCCAGTCTGGCTTAAAGTTCTGTCTGTCAAATAAGGCCCACTCCGTGTAGCGATATCTTAAAGTGCGCAAAGAGTACCCTGTAATGGTGAATTATGCTGCATCATTTCCTGACATTAACGTACAATATACAAAACTTTAAGATTATTTGATATTTTATATGATTACAAAAATTAGTCTCTCACTCTGAGAGTGGAAAAAATAGGTGTTTCAGAAAAAAGTACAGAAGATAACATATGGATCTAAAATAAACTGAGCAACAGGGAAATGAAAAATCTGCAATAATGAGAAGCTCAGAATTTGCACTTTTCACCTAAAGTTGACTGTTATAATGTTTAAACCAAGAATACTGAAATTAACAGAACATCCAGCATATAGAGTGGAAACAAGAAATTCATACAAAATATTGTTTATAAAATACTGTAGGATAAAATCACCCACGAAACCTGAGAGAATGATTTTAAAATGAATTTTAGAGAAACAGAACTGGATTGAACTGGCTTGGGATAAGTCCAGTGGTAGGGTTTGTGATGGGTGTCATAAAGTTCTATATTCCTTAATTGTAAAATAATCTTTGTCAGATGAATAACTGTAAGCTACTCAAAGAAGTAAAACCATGGAGGTGGTGTCAGACATTGATAGAGTAAGGAAGGTATGTACGATCTTGAAAAAATGTTAAATATTTCAAGTGCTTGCTGAACAGTTTATCTTCTGTAAGCACCATCACCCTAGAATAAATACTATGAATATACCCACAACCAGGACTCAACATATTTTTAACACTAGGTTACCATGACACATGGAGATAAACAGCGAAGCCATATTCAGTCAAAAAAGTCAGCTATGACATACACAGAAAGTTGATGAGGCACCCAATTCTGGATTAGAGTCACCAAAAACTTCCCCAACTTGATCTCAAGTCAACATATAATGCACCCATTATGTATCAACCACAATCAAATGCAAACATTCAAAATTAGATTACAGACAAAATCCAAACAACTGAGAAATTATACCAGAGCTACAAGAGAATTATTTAAGACAGAGACATTTTAGGAGAGGTTAAAGTGAAATGTAGTACTTGGCTACTTTAACGTACAGAATGGAGACTTTGGTGTAAACTAGAGAGAAATAAGTAAATTAAACACGGTAAAGATGAAATTTCTATGGAGTACTAGAAAAATAACGAGAGATAAAATCATAAACCAGGGCATTCGGTATGATCTCAAGATGGAAACAATAGAGGAAAATTTGGTACGATTAATTGGTATGAACACAACTTATATATGTACAATCAGGATTAACTTTAGAACTTTAAAAATGAAGATCAAGTATAAACAAGTGAAGGACTAAGTGACGGAAGATACACAAAAGACAGTATGGAAAGAGACGACACAGATACAAGAGGGGACAGAGGATGATGGTGATTATAACAGTATATTTATCAATGTCACATACCCATTATTTTAATCTGCTTCAGGCGAGGTTTGTCACTGTTTGGTTTCAATGTTGGGAACACTCCAGGTCGTGGATACTGACTGAAGACTCCAGTTTTCCATTTGCGTTCAAGATACCGATTTCTCGTTTCAATGCCTTGAACCTGAAAATTTTGATTCTTTTTATTTTAGACCTTTTTCATTTTTGGGCCATTACCAATGTTTCAGAAATATAAATAGCCTCCAAATTCAAGAGTTAAATTTAATTTTTGACCAGATATCTCAGCACTGAAACAAAATGCAAGTGGACATGCATCCTAGTTGAAACAAAGATAGAACATACATGTTCATGCATACTGTATGTGTCATTCTTTCATTCACATGTAAAATCACAGACTCATTTTATGCAATGACTTATTTTTAATCAGTTGCTGCTCATTTTATGTGGATTTTTCAATACTTTCAGGTGTAGTCTTTTCATACGTACTGTATTATTATGACTTATTCTACATCCTATTGTCATCTGAATAACTTAAGAATCCATGGTAATGTATATGTATGCATGTAACAGACACACATATTGAACAGAAATGTCCTCTGCTATGCTCAATAATGTAATGTGTAAAATACATTTTAAACAAAGACAGAGGAAAAGACTAAAGAAAAAGAATAAATAAATATGATGTACTGGTCTGTTAGTATCAGGACACAGTGAATTTAAAGTGTTAACAGGCCGAAGGGCCTCAATTCCTCTTTCAGGCATTTATACCAACCTTCCTAAAGACAGCGTCTTGTATAACAGGAACTACACTGACCCCTTCTGTACAGAGTTTCACAAGACTGGAGTTGACCGGACAGAGTGGTGGAACAATTGGTAAGCCTGCCAACTCAGCCAGTGTGGGAAATATATCCACTAACTCAACAAGAACACTACTAGACAGATACTCTTTGTGTTGAAATTTAAATGAGTCAGTCAGCCCTGGCACACGAAGGATAAAAGGGACTCTCACAGAGACCTCAAAGTTACTGTATTTGGACCATTCTCCATGTTCGGCCATTGACCATCCTGTGAAGAAACGCAATTTGTGTATCTCTCAGATATGAACTAGTATGAAGAAGAATGAGGTGGGAAGGGTATATAGCTCACATGAGAGTGGTGATAAATGTTTACAAAAATTATAGTGTCAAAAACCTGAAAGGCAGAAACCATTTTGTAGACTCAGTATATATAAGAATTAAATTGATCTCAGGTGAGAATCTGGACTGAATTCATCTAATTTAGGACAGAGGCCTGTGGTGGGCTTTTGTGAACACAGTAATAAACCTTCTAGTTCCATAAATGGTGGGGAATTCCTTGTCTAGCTGAGGGACTATTAAATTTTCATGGACTCTACCTCATGGAGTTCATTATTTAAAGAGATATAGGAATTATCAGGCTTTATAATATGTAGTACACACATAAAGACTCACTTCCTGCCATCATCACCTTGTTGATGACCTCACTTATACTACACTATTGTGAAATACATAATAAACAAAGAGAAATTTAATGAGTGCAGATCTTTAAAGTGTTAAACACAGGACAAAAAACCTATTAATCTGCAATACCACTTCCATTTAAACTGTGTATACTACATCCATTTACTAGTAAAAGAACCTGTTTCTCACACTGGTTTCTCTTAAAATAAATAAATGAAATTGCTTGTTCTTACGACAATGTTATGATTATATACTCCTGTTGTCCATTGTTATATTAAAATAACAGGCATATTCTTGCAAGTTTTATTCATAAATGTGCCTAAAAACCAGAGCAAAGTGTATCTAATTTTGCTGATAAAAATCAAAAAATTTTGAAGTCTTCACAATATGAACCTAGTCTGAGCAAGAATAAAGCACTGTTTATAGTAATATTACATATATCTCTTGTGCATTTTCATACTGTGCTTATGCAACTATCATTACACAGACAGGCATGTAAGCATGTGCGTGCACACTAACAAACACACACACACACACAATGATTTGTCCTTCAGTACTGTGTGCTAGAAGTGCCTCATGTAAAGATATTTACCATGGTCACCAATCAGAAGTATAATTGTAGTGTTAAGAAGACCTGCTGCTTCCAGTTCTGAGAGCAACTGGCCTACCAAATCATCAATATAAGACACGGCTGCATAGTAGCTTTGTATCACCAGTCGAGCATAATTATCTGGAATAAATTAATAAAAGTACTCAATTCCTCTTGTACTGAGTATGTTTGAGTGTGATGAGGATAATATTTTGATCTATGAGGGAGGAAACAACTGGGGGATGGAGGAAACTGCATAATAAACTTCATGATTTGTATTCTTCAGAAAATAATACTAAGATGATTGAGTCAAGCATGAACAGAGAAAAGCATGTAGCAAGCATGGAAAAGAAGATAATATACATATAAAATTATGAGCAGAAAACCTCAGTTAAAGTTCCTTTCTAATTGATACTGTTGAGATCTCACCGGGTATTGGTCCAAATGGAAAAGAAACATTTAGGGCTGCCACATCATCCCTCTCTCTCAGATCAGTCCAGGGATTCCATGCTACCGTTGGCAGAAAAGATGGTCGCCAATGTGCAGACGGTAAATGAATGGAATCCAATGGATGGAGCTCTAAAACACAGAATGGAATATTCTGTAGTATATATTATTACTACAGATTAATAATTCTCCAAAGAGTATGAAAAAATTAATTATTTTATGTGTGTGCACACATATCTCACTCACTCACTCTATGGTGCAGGATATTCTTTGAAAAGTTGATTGTGTACTCAGCTTGTCAAAAAATAGCCTACTTTGTTTATGGAACCTGAAGGTTCATCACCATGTTCACAAAAGCCCATCACAGAACTCTAACCTGAGCTACCTGTATCCATTGCACATATGTGCATGCCTAAAATGTTATTAGCAAAGTCACACACAACAATGATATAGAAATAGTCTTCTGTTTAAATGAAAAAAATAATTCACATAATATAACTCATAAATCAAGTTAATGAATCCTTAAAGAATATGTTAAATTGTGTATCTAAGAGATGAAGGAACATGTGAAAAAACAATTTTGCCTTTATTTCATTTTTCTGTGGTGAAACTGCTTAAAAATACATAATTTATAGGAGATAAATGTATGTCACTGTTGTCTTGTGAGGCTGAGGTCTAAACCCCTATTCTCATAAACCTCAGTATATTTATACTCAGTTTCAGAGTTCATTGTTGCTTCCCAAGAACATAACCACAGAAACAGTAATTTATTTGTTTTACTTTGCATCCATATTTTTCCACATTTCTTCAAATGAAAGGGACAATTATTATACCAGATTGATAGGATCTGTGCTACAAGATGTTATGAAATAAATTAACTGTGGGAATTCACCCATACAGTTCTGTTAAATATTTTATTTCTTAGTTTATTTAACAATAATTTGTCAACTGCATATATTATACAGCATTGAATGAAAAGACAAACTAGTGAATGGATCAGGATGTGGAAAAAAATATATGTGGCCTATTTAAACTTTGCTGCACTATTTAAATTCATTGTATCATACCACTATCAGACAAGTTAATTTAAATGCCCTTTATGAATTAAGTTTTAATATGTTAAGGACAGAAAGGAACATACAATTTTACTGTTTCACTAAATTAATTATGACAAATGATTAGTATACTATCCCATCCTGAGGAACATAAGATATATTTCAGTTAGAATATCTGGCCTCTGAACCAAGAATTTAAAACAGGTCTTCCTCAGTAAGAAGCAGAAAAGCTACATTTATATTTACCACGGTATTTTGTTGGATACTTAAGAGGCACATGTGGTTTATGGAAACCAACAGCCAAGAAGAATGGTAACAAAGTAGAATTTGACTGTGCATGGAGAAACTTTGTGGCTTCTTCGAGAGACTGCAGGTCAGGTAGTGAGTGACCAGGCTGAAACTTGACTTCCACTGGACAAACTAAATTTCGTCCAAAAGTACCATCTGGTTGAGGACAAACACTTGCTTGTTTATAATGTTGAGTGGGGGGGTGGTAGGGGGCCTCAGACCAACTGTATGGTTGATCATCACTCCAATTAGATGCAATACCTGCAGGACAGTACAAACATTAATTCTGAATAACATGTTTACAAGGTAGCTGGTAGAAGTTACAGAACTTACTGTAATATCTGAGGGTTTGTATGATCCATTATTCCTTTTTTATTGTTTCTTGGCTTATTTAATGATGCTCTGTCAACTGTGTACATTGAATGACAAAATGATTATGACTGAAGAATTAGGAAGGATGTGGAAGGAAAGAGTCATGACATATTTTAATGTATAATATTTTTACAGAACAACTAAAGAAACCATGATAAATCCCATTAAGACTAGGCAGCCAAGTCAAGTGCAAACTTGGAACTTCCCAAATATCATTCAGGAATGCTAACCACTCCACTGTCATTCTCTGGCTATCCCATTTGAAGTTTCATGTAATTTTCCTCAGAATCTTTCCCATGAATGCAGAGAATAGTAAAATTTCTTCTGAGGAAGAAAAATTAATGTACTCCATCAGCAAATAGCCCAATAGGCCAGGCATGATAGCTGCATGCAGAGCCTGTCAGAAGAGTCAGCAACAAAAGTGTATATTCACTCTTCACACTCACAGGCATTTTCCTGATAAAGAACATAATGAAGATCTTCATTATTTGAACTCTTCATGTAATATTGTAAGGTTGGTTAACTTAAAGAGGATTAGATGGGTGAGACATGTAGCATCAGATACAATCTACCCTGTTAACAAAGTTCCAGATATTTAAGTGTTCAAAGCTCATCGTTACCTTATTCACATTACACAATAAGGAGGTGCCAAGCACTATTCTGAATTCATGATATTACAAGCTCAATTGACTGGCGCAACTGATAAGTTTAACACTGTAACAGTAGAACTCATTATTTTTTAGGCCTTTGATCCAGTGTGCACATTAACCTGGATGGAAAATTTTTCCAATTGTCTTGGTGTGGTAGCCATTCTCTTTGAAGTGTTGTGGGAGAGTTGTGAAATTCCCTGCAGCCATCCGCCAGTAGCTATAAAAATCATACAGATGAAGTGTGTCTGGACGTCTGCTTGTTAAAAAAGAGTTCCGACTGGGAGCACACAAAGCTTGCTGAAACAAGCACTACTTTAAAACTAATTCCATACTTCAGAACCTTCATAAAACAAATGACCAAGAAATCATCTACTGTTACAGAGCCCAAAAGATTATCAACAAAAAAGAATTAAATGACAGGAAGCTACAGAAAACTTTATAATGAGGAGCTTCATAATTTGTGCTCTTCACCATATATTATTAGGATGATGAAATGAGCAGGGCATGTAGCACACATGGATGAGGTGAGAGGTTTAACTTTTGATTAAGTCATTCTGGGAAAGTTCCTTCAGTAAGGGATTGATATAAAGATAACTTAAAGGAAAAATATAGTCTGAAGCTGTTTGTCAGTTGCACAGTATCTGTGGAGAAATTAGACAACTAACATTTTAACCCAGTGAAATTGAGTACACAGTCATATATAAATAACATTTCGTGTTAGTCACTTTGAACTGAACCGCCCTACATTGTGAAAATCCAGACGCAATAGTTCAACATATCATAATAATCTAAAGTACATTTTTCGTATTTGTATGCATGCCCACGATATCCCCTGGGCATAATTTATCATGCAGACATACCTGCACATAAGCATTATTAAAGAGAATACTGTTTTTCGCTAAAGTGTCAATATTTGGAGTGTATGCCATCTGATCTTTATAACACCCAAGTGCTGGGCGCAAATCATCCACAACTATAAACAGGATATTATCTTTTGATTCAAAAGCAGAAAATAATGCAAAAAGGTAGAATGAGTGTAATATTATTTCATTTGTCACTGGCATTATTAATGTCGGTTGTTTTCAAACGAAAACGCTTCTAGTCGCACCACATTAACAATGCGTTCGTTTCGACATTTCGAAATTTCTCCTTCTTCGATATCTCGAATATGTGTTTGCACATCTCTTTCACGAAAGTCTACTTTGAGTACTGTTTATACGAATCAGCTGATCATTGTGTATGTTCGGTATGAGAAATTTTGGTTCAAGATAATTAAATACTTTAACATTTCTTTGTTGTGTCTCTCTACATAAATAATTTATATATTTTGACATACAGAAATTATGATGTGCATTTAAATAAAAATGTCAGAATTCCACTTTAATATGTCTATATTTTTATTCGGAGAGTTCAGTTGTCCCAGGGAAAGTTGCTTTCTTTCCGGAGAGTTGACGTCACATTTAGCACTAGTTACAGCTGTTAGCAATGACGCAGTGGGAATAACGGAGTAGTTGTTTGCATCATGATTATTATTGTGTTTAGAATTGTAAGTTACTTTTTCGGTGAGATGTGTACCGTATTAAAATCTTATATTTTTTAACATTATAGTATACCTAGAATTAAGCTGAAGTTGAGATTGACATACACGAAATCGTTCGTTACGTACATTATGCCTTTGTCTGCCAAAACCAAGTTATTTTAAGTGTGCCTTTAAGTTCTGTATTGTGTATAAAGGTAGTGTACATTTCATTAGATTACATAACGGACGTTTATTTCCTTTCATGACTGAAGCCCAGCAGACCACTTAATAAGCTATTGTTGGGAACAGGTAATATTTATTTTGTTTATTTTTTCTCAGTACAACAATGTCTGCTGAATCTCCTCGCAGATCAAGTCGTCAAGGTGGTCATATTGTTGTCCCACAGCCAGTTAATGATCGGTCCATTATAGAGAGTGTTGCAGGATTTATCAATGAAGTTGTTCCACAGGTAATCAGTCAGTTTGTTACTGCAGGCCCTGCATAAATTTTTAATAAATTCAGGAACCACCTTCAGAAACTTGGCGTCATAAAAAATATCAGAAACGGAAATACTATTGTTGGCATGTTATGAAATGAAATAATTAAAATTTTTGTAGATAAGACCAGAAATGTTCTGTAAATGTTACTATATTGTGTGAATATTAAAGTGTTTCATAATAGTGATACAAAGATACAAAATCATCAGAATAATAATATGTAGAACATTTTAGGCACTATCATATATTTTAGGGCCTGTGGTGAACTGGTTCCAAGGATTTGTGCTGGCCACTTATTCTGTGCTTGCACAATTTCTGTAGTTTTATTGTAGACAAATTTCTTACCTGCATGTTGATGATAACCATGTACTGTTTTTGTTGCTTTGTAGCTCACTTTTGTAGCAAGACCACTGAAGAAGGCTTTATATTAATATGTTTATATCTTATCACCACAATGCAGGAATAAGTCATGGTGTAAAAATGAACATAACTACCCAGAAAATTAGACAAAGTTAAAATATTTGGGAATGATTTTAAACCAGAATCATATTTTATATTAAGATAGTTTAAATTCAGGTATTGCTTGCTGCAATGCAGTTCAGAATCTTTCATCTTCAGACCGCCCATTTCAAAACCTAAAAATTCAAACATACAGCAGTGTATGGGTGAGTGTGTTGGACAATAGAGTTCTGACAGGTTATTTAAGCCAATAGGTCATTAACAGGAGGCTGAAGGAAGTTGCATAATGAGGAGCTTTAGATTATGTAATTATCACCAAATGTTAGTATGGTAAAATCAGGTATGATGAAATGGGAGAGTTTCAAAGATGAGAAACACACAAAACTTTAATGTGAAAATTTGAAGGGAAGAAACCAGGCATATTTGATAGTATAATATTAAAATTTATCTTAGAAAATGTTTATTTTATAAAAGGTAGAGAATATATTGACTAACTGAATGGCTACCATCATCTCAATAAATCTGCTGTATAGAAATAGTATTTGTGTTTAATGAAGTCTTTCATTTGGAAAGGGGATTCTTTTCTAACATGACAAATAATTCATACCTTTGTTTCTTTATGTTTGTTGTAAAATCTGCAATTGAGTCATCTGTAACCAAAATATTATAATGACTATTCAAGGCAGAGATGTTGCCCCTTATTTATTTGCACAAAATGGTGAATAGCGAATGCCATTTAGTTTTTAACAAGTAGGCACTGCACTAGCATAAATGATTGAGAAGCTATAAATGCCAGATTTTCAGGCCACTTAGTAAGAATTGGTTCAGTTATGTAATGCTCCAGAAGTCCTGTTCTGGCCCCATTTAGACTTGGATAAAATAACACTTTCAGAAGAGCTTCATGTGTGTTACTGACAGAATGTCTGTATAGTAGTTTCTTATCTGTCAATATGTTGATGCAGTTTAATATAATCATAATAGGTCAGTTATAATTTTGTACATTATATGTAAATATAAGAATATTGTAGAAATTTTTAGGTACAAAAATTATACAGGGGTCTAAATGCTCACGAGAGGGGAACTACTGACAAACATCTGGCCTTCTGATATATATGTTTTCACTAACATTGGCAGGGTTGAGAATACTGTCTTCTGTGTCAAAATTCATGATTGTGAGCACTAAAGGATAAACTGCTGCTATCATTAAAACTGTTATTTCAGCCATGCCCAACTGTGTATGGCCAGACACAGTATTGCCTTGGTGTTTGCTGTGCGGCAGTGGTGGTTACAGTTAAGCCTGTAGGAAGTTATTTGTAAAGTTTGCAAGCTCTCTGACATTTGAGTGGCATTTAAGCAAAGCACCACTTTCTTAATTAAAATTATATAACACTTCAAAGTACAGGATTTTATTTATGACCCAATATTTTAAGGAATTGTTCTGGTAGTTATTGTTAAGACCAGTGATATCCTTCAGGAATCTTGTAATTGTGAGATTGACTTTACCACACAGCAAACTTCCCAAGTCATCACCATTTTGTTATGTATTTTCATTTTTTCATGAGCTTCACACAAATGTCTGAATATAAACATTAAAATTCCATGCCAACTACAAGGGTAAGTGACTGCATTCATTTTCAAAGGCATTCCAGTACATTTACCTCAGATAACAAGTGGTTACATTTGCTGCAGTTATAGTTATTTAGTGCCAGAGGATGTCTACAAAATGTTTATAGTGATAAAACAGAAACTGGATATACTTTATAAACTTGAAGAAGGCAACTCAATCAAACTTTTTCTTCAGTTAAACAGTAGGTGAAACAGTGACATCAGAAACAATAAACCTAAAACAATTAACTGTACAAAAACATGAAGGGAAGAGACCACTTGGGAGACCTGGGCATAGGTGGAAGGATAATATTAGAATTTATCTTGAATAGGGTAGGGATGTATACTGAATTCAAGTGGCTCAGGATAGGGCCAGTGACAGGAGCATGTGAATATGCTATTAACTGTTTGTTTTCCATAAAAGGAGGGTAGTTTCTTGTGAAGCTGAGTAATGATCATTGTAACAAGATATCTTTGTTTCATGGATTCAATATCAAAGAATCTGCACTTCCCATATTGAAAATTACACAGCTGTGAAATTTCTTTGGGTAAATAATAAAGTCTGACTTTGGTTAGAGTTGATCGTATGACAGGTCCTGTGCACTAGTCCAGATATGAATTTCTGAAGTAAATATTTCCATGTTTATTAAATTTTATCATACAAGAATAGGGGATTAAACCCCCATAATATGAGGCTGTCTGCCAGACATTACCTCTGGAGTTAAATTTTTGGAGTTACCAGTTTGCTTGTGTGATGTGGTCAGCTGAATCATGCATAAGCTGTGATGCACATATGATAAAGATTACTGGACTTATAAAAGTATTTCTACATAAATTTGGTGTTTTAGGTGAGACTCCACTGCAAAATTAGGTAAACAAATGCATGTGTTCTAAAGAATTTCAAATTTACTTTAGTATAGTCACTTTCAAGAGGACAGCATTTGTCCTTTTCATACATTGTTAATGCTGGGCCATAATGCCAACAGTTTTGCACATATTTCTTTTCACCATTAAATTATGTTACAGGCCTATACCAGCTCTCCTTCAGGCGAGGGAAAAGAAACCATTACCTGGGCAAGGTTTGAGTATGGAGACATAAATGACCCTGCATTGTATCCTGATTCAGCTGATGATCGAAACAGTACCCCTCCACTACTCTTAGTCTTGGGATATGGCAGTGGAGTGCAGGTACGGTACATTATTTGCTGTTAACTTTAACTGTATTATGAATTATCAACTGCAGCTTGTTTGGTGCACATAGCATCAAGAATAGACTTTGTTATGTTATGGGTCTTTACTTCCAGTGACAACATCCATGCAAAATCAGATAACATTGTTCCAGTTTTACCATTTCCCTGCTTGCCAATCATAACTACACCCTTTCTTTCCTAGTTTCCCCACTGATCAATCTGGTAAGAAATGTTTGTTGCTATAAAATGGCCATCAGTGTATTTTATCATTGGTATGGTGCATAGGGCAAGTTCTGCATTTGATATGCCTTTAATATGGCATTGTATGAAAGTGATATTATCTCCACATTAAACTGTGGTAAGTTATATATTTTCATTCATAGACCAAGGAGTTATGTCTGACTGAAATTTGTCAACACCAATAAACTCAATAAATGTCAGTGTCAATGTCTTAGTAATGAACTAACTCTCCAGTAACAGAATCAAAAGTTTAAACACCTTTGATACTTAAATGACCCATTGGACATGATGTTGAGCCATTTTTATCCACTTCCCATCCTCACTATCTATTCCCCTATGATCTATCCTGATGTTATCCTCATGTCTCCTTAAAAGTAGGTGTTTTCCAAGGTTTCCTCACCAAAATTTTGTATGCATGCTTTGTCTCCTTCATCTTTGGGTTGGTTATGTGCTAATAACTCTTTGCCATAAAATGTTCCATGTTACAAAACTCTTACAGAGGCCATGGAATTGGACATATATTCTTTGATATTACATAGGAGCCATCTGAAGAACATCTATTAATTTTTTTTATGTTTTGAAGGTTTGGGCAATACCTGCATGTGGCGAGGCAACAGAAGTTCTGTCATGGCGACAAGGAGTTGTGCGAACACTACGTATACTTCCCACACCAGGTACTGATGCTTCTACTCCTGATGCATTCTCTCACAAGAGACCTCTGGTGGCTATGTGTGACTGTGCTGGTGGACCTTCACCACAGTTCTGTTCTCTAAGCTTCATTTCCCTTCGAGGTGGAGATCAGGTGTGTTAAAACCTACTGCCAGTTTTGTCTTTTTATGATAATTTTGTTGATATTAATAATTATTTCTTTCATCCTGGTGCAGACTGTCTAGCTTCTTTCATATTTAAAGTATGCCGTGCAATGCTACTGTGGCATTGGTTTCCAAACATTATCATTCCATAAACTCCTTCCTTGGAAAATCAGAATATACATACATCTACTTTTCTTTCTTCTCATCCTAATCATGCTTTTTCTTCTGCTTTGCTTTCCCATTAATCTTCTGTCCTGTTCTCTTTTCTCTCCTCTTCCACTTCCTGTTTTAACTCCTTCCCTTTCTCCTCACTCTGCTTCACCTTATTTGCTTTCTTTTTCTCATTCTTCCCTCTCCTGCTCCTTACAGCTTTCTTATCCAGTTACCTTCATTTTATCTCCCAAATCCTCATTCCACTTCAGGTTTATTAATTAAAGGTAATGTAGCATGCCCAATCTGCCTCAGCTAACCTGCTTTTTTATATTGACAGCATCTGAGTAAGACCATCCTCATTCATCTTCATTTTTTTTCCCCCTTCTTATTCTTCTTCCCCAGAAGAAACATCACATAATATGATCCACACAGTGAACTTTGTTTCTGATCTTGATTTCTTAAACCTTGGGTTATTTCATGATCAAGAACTCAATTTTTCCTCTTTTTCTTTCTTTAGGTGAAGAGCATTAAATTTAAGAATCCGGTTAGTGATGTCCTGGCGAATCGAAGATCAGTTGTTGTTACATTTTCTGAAAGAATTGCAGTGTTTGATGCTTCAACGCTCGAAGATCGTCTGACTGTCACTACATGCTACCCCTGTCCAGGTCCAAACCCAAACCCTGTCACATTAGGAAGTCGCTGGTAAGTTCTGGAGTGCTTACACTCTTGCAAATTATAAACATTCAAACTCATTCAGGACAACAGGTAGAAAGTATTTTGTTATTAGCTATTCCATTAATGCTAAAAATAAAATAGCTTATTTCAAAACAGACAGACCTCTCCTGTTACCTTTCAGAACTTTATAGTGAATGTATATTGCTTTTTGTACAACAAAAATTGTAACCATGGAAATATAAAAATAAAATAACATGTTTAACCTTTATTAAAATTATTGTGGTAAGGGATAAATATCAATATTTTTGTTGTTGTCATCTTTATCATCATTATTATAATCATTTCTCATCCAGCATTTTTCTATAATGAATTCATAATTTGTTCCTATGTTATAAAGTTCAGTTTTAAGAAACTTTTTATTCAACAGTAGAAACCAGGTTTTCTTAGTGCACAGTAATTATCAATTTCATTGAATTTTCAATATTACTGACTGCCAGTTTGTAACATTCTGCAGCTCTGAAGCCCTTGTAATCCTGAATGTTTCTGTCATTTCTATTACTGGTTCTGAGGCAACAGAATTTAACATTTTGTGTAGCATAAGTAAATTTAAACATTCTTTTGGGCAGTTTTCAGTGTTCAATGCAGCTCAGTTCCAATAGGAACGTGGATTGTGTCCAGTAGTGGATTTCAGTATTAGCGATATTCTAGTTAGATTACTAGGTAGTTTACTAATGTATTAGCTGGTTGGTTGTTTGCTTGCTTTATCAATTTGTTCATAAATAACATCTGTCCAAAAACCCATTTAATTCTTTTTCTCAAATTGAAGCTACTGTGTAATATATGATTGAGATATTCTTATCATTGAAGCATAGTGTGGGTAGGTGAATAAATGTGTTACTAATATAAAACAAGCTGAAAACACTTGTGTAAGCCTCACAAAAAAGGAAGTAAGTTCATACTTTACCCTGACTGGTTTCAGGTTAGCATACTCTGAGAGGAGGCTAATGCCTTCTCGTCGATCATCAGGTGGGATGGAGGGTGAAGGTGTGCAGTCCTACACTGCAACTGTGTTACATGCTGCTAAGTCATTTGGGAAAGGATTACGTGAGTTAGGCGAGACTGTGGCCAGTAGCTTGACTGGAGGTGCAGCTGGCGTGGGCATGCAGAGAGGAATTGTGGGTTGTGTTGGAGGACCAGTGGTAGGACACCAAGTTGGGACCATCTTGAGTGGAAATGCAGACAGCATCCAGCCAGGCATTGTCACCATCTTGGATGCTCAAGTATGCCAATTCAAATTGTCAACTTCAAATACATTTGTTGAGTTTCAGGTACTGAATGTTGCAGCTGAGTAGTGAGCACTCCTGCTTCATGTTATGAAAGTACAAGATTTAATTTTTAGTCCAGAAGTCATTTATCATTACAGAGGTTTTCTCTGTCATGAAGAAGGTCGTGGCCACTTCCTTCCAGGGCCTTCCCAGTCCTCCCTTTGATCACCTTGTTAGAATTTATCAAGTTGTTCTTATGTTCATATTGATTATATTTTAAAAATAAAGTTAAGTACAGTCTGCTGTTGTAACAACCAAGAAAGTCAAAGAACATTGCCACAGTATTCTTTTGTAAACATGGTTTGGAAGTATTCACAAGTATATGTGACAGTTAGTGTTCCACTATGGTTGATACATCATGAAGCTTGTTAATTCTTCTGCTGCTAAATATGTTTGAAACTAACCTCCCACTCTCCCTTCCTGAAGGCTGTAGAAATATATTTGCAGTGGGTGAGTCAGTGGATATCAGTGGTGTGTTGTTTCTGCTCTTACAGGGAGGTTTACCTTCTGGCTGTGAAGATGAATTAAAATCAGGTGATTCCATAATTGGAGGGAGCTGTAGTTCAGATATCATTGCCCATTTCATGGCCCATAGTGAACCCATTGTGGCATTAGCGTTTGACCCATCAGGAATGCTTCTTCTGACAGCTGATAAGCGTGGCCATGATTTTCATGTATTCCGCATCCATCCTCATCCAGGTGGATCATCACTAGCAGCTGTTCACCACTTGTACATATTGCATAGGGGTGATACAACAGCCAAGGTTTGTAATGATTTTAACATTTCATCAAATGGGTGAACTGGCTCAAAAGTTGATACACACACACACACATCACATTGATTTTATAAGCCTAGTTTTGTTCTTGTTCTTTATTTAATATAGGAAGTGGACTGAAAATTTGGTTGGATATGGTGGAGAACAAATTGAAAGAGGTTTGTTTTAATAGAGAAACCTGTCATCGAAAACAAACAAAAAAGTGGTAGTGGAACCACGGTTCCGGAGAATTTGACGTAAATACGTCTATACAGAAAGGAAGTTTATAAATTGGCTTTATTCTAAATATTTCCTTTATACATGCTTTACAATTGAGATATATTTGATTAAGACATTGCTTAATCAACTTGAATTAGTTACACTTAAAATGGGTCTGTGGTAGCTGAATGTAATGTTAAGTAATGTAAGGTAATGTAATGTAAGGTAATGTAATGTTTTATAGGTAAAAACAATGCCAAGTAAACAGATGAGGTTTCCTAGGTAACATAACAATGAAGTTACACTTTTTCATAACACTTTTTTGCCGAATGACCCTTCCTCATAGATGTATTTACGTCAAAAAAAATCTCCTACCTAAAGGCTACAGCTATTCTGTGGAGAGTTACTGTGTCTGACATTGAACAGGTAATAAAATATGTTTTGCTGCTTCATGTTACAGGTGCAGGACATTGCATTTGCAGCAGACAGTCGCTGGGTGGCAGTTAGCACACTCAGGGGAACAACTCATGTGTTTCCTATCACTCCATATGGAGGTCCTGTTGGTATTCGGACACACGCTACACCACACGTTGTGAATCGGCTATCCAGATTTCATCGCAGTGCTGGCCTCATGGCTGATGGGCGCAACAGCCCCATACCCACCCCTGTTTCTGTGACTGTATCAAACCCTCCAGCATTGCCATACCCCAACCCTCGCCTCCCACCCTATTCTCACCCTACTGTGATCTTGCCACTTGCCCAGGTACGACAGCCCACCACCCACACGGTACTTTCTACCCCCACCTCTATGAACCCTGCTTTACAGCAGCCATACCATCGTAATCCCTCAATGAGATCACTTGGTCGAACTCAGTCTTCTTCAGATGATGGTCTACTAGGAGGAATACCACTGAAAGTTACAGCATGCTTTGCTCCACCACGCGCCTGGCTTATTGGATCTCCAACTGTGCCAAGAGAGACATCTGCTAAGGCTCATAAACGAGCAGTTGACTCACTGTTTGTGATGGCGTGCCATGGAAACCTCATAGAGTATGACCTAGAACCCCGACATGCAGCAGGTAAGCCATTCTCCCAGAATTTGTCACTCTGCAAACCTTTTAAACTTTATTATGGGAAAACGTGATTTAAACCCATGTGTTACAGAGTTGCCTGCCAGAATTTAAGTCTCTTGTTAACAGTTTAGCAGCATGCACAAAAAGCCGGACTGCACATAAGATACAACGCAAGTATTCTGAAGATGAAAATCACATTTTTGTTCAGTGAATTTCTTCTTTATTTGTCTGGTTCTGTCCTTCCAGATTTGCAATTATCTTGGTCCATTTCCATAGTGTTTTACAGTTATTTTTCCTGCACGTAAGCTTTAACTTACAGACTCTGGTTACAGTGAAGAATACTGATGTTTGTTCATGTTCAGGAATACCCAAAGAGAAGGTATGTGATGACACGGCCGTTGAGTTGGATGTTCAGCCAAAAGCTCAGTGGATGCTTCTGCGTCCATCAAACTCTAGTGAGCTGCAGCCTCCTCTCTCCCCAACCAACCCTCTGATGGTACTGCCAGATCACTTGCCAACCACTTCCAGCTGTGAGTTTAGACAGGATGACTCTGAGACGGATGAGAGGTGGCTGTCGCAGGTGGAGATTGTGACTCATGCAGGGCCTCACAGGAGGCTTTGGATGGGACCTCAGTTCACATTCAAAACATACAACTCAGCTGTGAGTGGGTTAGTAACAATATGGAATTATATTAATATTGTTGATACCACATTGTAGCTGTGCTGGAAGTGCCTATGCCTGAACTCTGTTGCTCTCTTGCTGATCAACCTGTATTAACAGTAAATTGTGTCTGTTGTTTGGTCAAAGTGTTCAACATGGAGGAGAATATTATCATAAGAACTGACAATTACAAAAAAATAGTTTATATTCTGAAAAGAAGATTCCACCAAAAAAAGGGGCTGTGTATAGGTGGGAGGATAATATTAACCCATTGGTAATTTGATTTTTCACCTATTTCAACAATCAGTAACTCTTCATTTTGTATGTGTGGATTTCTTGTGATTCTGAGTGTAAACTGCGATTATGTCCTTGAACAGCATGACACTAGTTGATCTTTGTGTAGTGTTTTCTTAGCAGTACCAACTTAATTCTTAAATGCTATTTAGATGAGCTTCAACTTCATAGGGTTAATATTGCTGTTATGTAAATATGTTGTGAGGGCAGAGTGCATTTATCTGGCCCAGGATACGGTCCAGTGGCAGGCTGTCATGAACAACATAAAGAATCTTCAGGTTCCATAACAGGCTGGGAGATTCTTCACCAGCTGATCTACTTTTATCTCCTCAAGGACTGCTCCTTAAAGTACTGTTCTTTTCAGGGTTCCATTGTCATTGCTTGAGTTGGAAGCTGTTGAGGTTGGAGTAGGATCTGGATCACGCCCAGCACGCTCCAATCCCGTTAACATGCCCATCAGCAGCAGTTCCCGCCCTGTTGTGCCTGTACTCATAGAATCTGGATCAGGAAGTACGTAAAAGTGATCTCACCTCTTTAGACACTGGCAAGACTTCATTTCAGGAAGTGACTGTTTTTGCTCCTTGCTGCAGTATGGCTGCAAGCTATTTTCATGGAAAACACAAAACATATCAATCTTGGTGGTTACTAATCTGCTCACATGCTTTTTTTACAATTCCTTTCTTTTTAATGTGTTCTTCCTTCTTTTCTTTCTTTTATACTTTTATTTCTTATTTCCTTTCCTTCTTTACATCTGTCATGCTTCCTGCCCTCTGTCTGTCAGATAGCAGATGTTATTGAACTCTGCTTAGATCCCATTGATGTGGTGTTCAAGAACATTCACCTGTCTGGTGCAGGTAGTTACGAACAGTCACCAAGACTTCTTGAAACATACGGAGCAGATGGGGCTGATTCAGATGGTTCAGCCGGGCCTGGAGAGACCCAGTTGCGTGAGGATTTGGCTGATGCCATGATGGAGAGTCCAGGCGTACCAATACGTGATACAGGTAACTATTTTATATTCCTGTTTGTAATGGAAAGCATGAAACCATTTTATTTAGAAACTGTGCAGTACTGATTGATATGCAGTTCTTGTTCAGCATGTTTTGATTTAAAACTATTATTTCTGTGGACCAACTATTGCACCTGGCTGCAGGTCTTTAAATCATTGCTTATGTCCAGAGTGAACTTATATCAGCATCTTAAACTAGAATGTTTTCTTGTATATAATGAGTAACAGACAGCTGGGTGAAGTTTTTCAGTGTGAACACCGTGTATTTCGTTGTTCGGTTTATTGATAATTTGTCATTTTCCAATACAAATCGTAGTACAAAACTCAAAATAGCCATAACTTCCTTATTGTCTTTTCCATATTTTGTAATTAATATGTAACAAGTGTTAACATTAGTACTGTGTGATACTGACAGGACATATTCAGAACCACATAGTTTAAAAACTGAAAAACTCAAAATTATAATACATCACATGTCTGTGACTTAGACACATTGTACTCAGTCAGCAAATAAACTGTATAAAAAAGATAGAAGACCATAATTTGACCTTTTCATAAGCATAAACATGTGAAATAACTAAACTCAGACATATTGATGTGAACTGCAAGACTGGTTCTAGCTATGAATGTTGTATTGCAGCTTTAGGAAGACAATCTTAAAAATGTGCAAGGGCTAAATGGATGTCCTCTGAGTTTCTTTTGTGTTTGTTACTTGCTATACATATAACAAAGTCCTATCAACTTTTGTGCAGTAACTTCACTGTTATTTACACCTTTTTTGTCTCCTTTCTTCTGCTGTATTCATAGTTAATATGCATTGACTTTTGCCATAATCACATGCAGCGTAATTACATTTTGGTGGAGCCACATAATGGCAGAATTAGGTACTACTACTATTGTTTGCAGAGTTACCCACTAACAGATGCTTTGTATTAGAGCAGTCTCATACATCATGATTATGTTTTTTTTTAATAGAAATAAATATAATCTTGTAATTGTGCTCTGTGCTAATATTCTGTCACATAGTTATTCCGTCAATACAATCAAATACTATTAACTATGAACTTCGTAATTTATACGTCTTCTAGTATTGTTAAGATATTGGAATTAGGTGGCTGTAATGGACAGGACATCTGGCTATGATAAGGAAGACAAAGAATCTGTACAAAATTAAGAAGTGAAGATTCTTGGAAAGTGGTGAGTATAGAAAACCAAAAAGGAGATAAGAGGATAATATCAAGATGGATAATATGAAAGTAGTTCATAAAGATGAAAGGTGGATGGAACTGGCTCAAGATTGTGTTGAATAGTGTGCTTTGGTATTAGTGATTAATCTTTCAGTTCTACTGCCATAGTGTGTGTGGTAGTTAACAAAGTTTGGATTTCAGAGCTTAATAAAAAATGAGTCATTAGAGAAATTTATTCATAGAAAAAGTGGGGATTGTTTTTGGAATCTTAACTGTTGTTTTGGACATGGTGTGGGATTCTCTAATTTAAATGACAAACATGTTGGTACATTTTTCCCTTCTCCTATAAATAACAGTCTTAAAGAACAATTCAGATTCATCAGGTTCTGTTTCAAGCTAGGAAAAACTACTACAGAAAACTACATATTACAACTTACTTTGAAGAGGAATCAATGAAAATAATTCCAACTTTGAAGAGTTGTTAAGAGTTCAAATATGAAGATCCTGTTTATAATTTTTTTCAGCACAGATGGGATTGTGTGTTAGAAATTTATCCTATAGGAACAAACTCCAGATCAACAAACATTTCTACATAAGAGGATCTGTGTGCAGATGCATAGTGGAAACATCATGACAAATGGTACACATGAGATTGGTTTCTTTGCTGGCTCTGCTTCGTTTGTTTATGAATTACTCACCAGAAACTACATGACTGTTGTCATCCACCTACATATTCTCCAGTTTCGGTCTTGTGTGATTTTCTTTTTTGAAACCAATCAGTATTTCCAAGGAAGAGATTTTATGAAATTGTGGACTTGACTTGCAGATTTCAAAACACAGGTTTTCCAGTAGATGCTTTCAGCTATGGCAGAATCGCTGAATTTACAGTGTCAGATCATTAAGGAACTATTCTGGAGGGGACAGAATGAAACAGCTGCTAAATGCAGTAAGTATAAAGAAAGAAATCCAATCCAGACATTTTTATCATTCCTCATTGTAGCACAAATATGATATTATGATGACGAGAAAGAAGCAGCAATTATGTCTGCAGTTTCATGAGAGGAATATGGAAGCTCAGCCCATACCAACGCAAATCCTGGGGGTTCCTGTTTTCATGGTCAGATTCAGGAGATTATATAAGCTGTTAACAGTGTACAAGTTAACACAACTGTAAACAAGAGCATTTTTGGTCTCCTTTTCTTGTTTTTATTTTATTAATTTGTTACAAATGTCATGCCACTAGAGATAGCCCTGCCTTTGTACTTTTTAATTTTCTGCCATCAGTAATATCAGCATGTCACTGTGAATTTCTGAGGTGGAGCAGTTTGGCATTGCTTAATGTAGAGTCCTACAATTAGGTGCAGAAATGAAACTTAAAAAGTATGCATCTTTTAATGCTGTTCATTTATGTATAATACAACATTCTGGCGACAGTGTCTGCATTTAGCTTTAGGTTTGATGGTGATAACCGGTAAACCATTTTAGGTAGACGTGAAATTTAACAATTCCAATATAGTGATAATGTGGAACTTTGAGTTTGTACCTAACGTATGTAACATACTAGTAGTAAAAATCTGTGCTAGTTGAAGTTATGCACAGAAATTAATCGCAAACTTATCCCATGGAGCAGTCCTTCATGAAAGGTAATAGAACTGATTACTACCACTCATCACCATTTGTATTGAAACATTTGAAGAAAAGGAAGTATAATGAGCACTTCCTGGAACTTCTTGTTATACATTTCTGATCTGTTAAGGTACAGGCACATTTCATCAAAACAAAGGTAAGGGAAGATTTTATTTCTTGCAGCAACTCTGTGTTCCTGTACTCTCATCTTTGTAGTAAGTAGTCACTTCTCCCTGTACAGTTGCAGGTTTTTTTAAATGCATTTCTCTTATTGTATTTAATCTCAAGTAATTATTGTATACAAATTTTAGTCCATCCTTAGCTTACGAATTGTCAAGTTGTAATAAATATGTGGTTTATGTGGGTCCTGAAGATGCAGCAGCCACAGGAAATTTAACTGATCCTGAATAAGTAGTAAAATTTTATTTTTTTGAATCTGCATTTTTTTTCCTTACTGCTTACTAGTTTGTGGCTTTATGTGCATGGCATGATTGGTATTTTTTATTATAATATTCTTAATGTTAAACTGATTCATATTACTGGACATCTTCCTTTGTCTTAGAGTTTAAAAAAATTAAATTTCAAAAGCTTGCTCTGCTTCCATCTTCAGAAGAAATTATACAAACTTAGCCTTTTCCATTGACCAAACACATTTGTTTGCACAGTTTCATCTGATGACAGAAACATGAATGTGGGTTTCTTTAACTTAAAGATGAAGGAAAATATCTATTAATATGCATCGGTTTAATAACGTCTCCATTATAGACCTTTAGAGTAATTTGTAATGTTGATTTTTGAAATATGTAATATTATCTGTTTTCTCAATGTAATGGCCTCATGTTTATAGTAGTCATTTTTAATTCTAAATTTGGTTAACAAAGTATATTGTTATTATCTGTCAGTTTTATGTTATAAAACGTTTTTCATGAATGCAGCCCAAGTAACTGTTATCTTTCTCTGAATTTTAGTCTCCAAAATGTGATCATATTTTGCTTTGATGGTATTATGAATACATTTTTTTTTTTAAATTTATCTTTTCAAAACAATTAGCTACACTTTTTAAGCATAAAGTCTGGATTTCAAGACACATTTTATAGAGTGTACATTTGACTTTAAACCTGTCTTTCTCAGTTCACAGTAAAGTAGCATGAACATTGCAGGTTCATTTTCCTTTATTAATTAATGTAGTAGTAAAGAATATTTTTAAATGTATTTTTAATATTTTGTGATCAACTATTCACATTGAGTCATTCAGCTAATCAGAAGTCAAGCATTTGTTTTTTTAACCCATTGAAGCCAAAGCTTATCTTAATAATGTTTAAACATTCAATCTCTGCTTCCATTATTACAAAGATCAGTTGGTTAAAACTATTTAAGGAGAATTATATACACTCTGTGGGAAAAATATAGTATTATTGATTGTTAGACCAGATTGTATGTATAGTTACAATTGAATGTTAAAGGGTCAACGTGTTTGATCATTACATGTAGTGAACAGTGTGTGAATGATATGTCAGATTATTTGAGAGTGCCAGAGCTTTTATTGCATTGCACACTGGCTAAATGAAGTTGCAAGTTAATATAAATGTTAAAAATAAAACAAACACACAAGATTTAGCCAGAGTCAGCGTTTGAGGAACCAGAATTCACCCTGTAAGACCTTTCATCTGGTTCATGTTTGGATTTAAATGATATGACCACAAAGTAAATGTTTCACTGTTTGTTCCCTGTTCACTAACACTTAAATTCAGAGACGTGATATTTGGTGCTTGATCAGCGATTACTCAACTTGTGCAGTCATCATTACAAGGCAAATGTGTCATGAGTCTGTCCCATATAACACTGAAAGTTATTTTTTGTTCTTTCTTACTTTAATATACACATAGAAAAAACCTGCCTCTGGCTTTTTCTTTTTTTAAGGGAGAAGAATGAATGTTGAAATGCGACATGGTGCTCAGCTAGGAAAGAAGAATTCAAATCCCATCCAAAAAGTTGTGAATCCAGTGGGAACTGTTATTACAGTGTCTTTCCCTTCTGAGGATTGGGACACTTCACAGGCTTCAGATTTCAGCGTAACTGTACCAAGCAAATGCGAGTCATCTGCTGAAGAGGAGGATGGGGTAAAATCACTGCTCCACAGATGCAACAGGAATGATCTTCCCTCTTTGGATGACATTGTCAGGTGGCCAGCAGTGTCAATGCCTGCATGCATTTTGAAGAGAGAAGGGTATGGGCCATCAAAGTCTGAGAACAAAGAAGCAGAAATTAGAGCACAGAAGAAAGGTAAAAATAATACACAATGTGTTTCTTGTGAAAGATGCAGTAACAAACTTCAAGATGAAGAAAAAGATGATGATAAGTGCCCTGTGGAAGAAGACAAGAAAGAGCATAATGTTACAGCAAGGAAAACAGAACGTGGAGAAATAATGGTGTCTTGGGAAACTTGTACATTGAATAATGGGCCTATTGCTTTGTTCGAAAGTATATCGGAGAAGGACTGCAAGAAGAGAAAAATGGACAGGATTGAGTCAGATTTTAAGTACCAAAAATGCTTACCTTCAAAAACCAGTGATACTGCGGTAGAAGTTGTAAATGATACTTATAAGAAAGAGAATGAGGTAAAAATTGTAAAATCAGGAAATCAGATATCATTAAATGTTAAGGATGGAAATAACGTAAGTCGTAAACCTAAATCATTTGTACCAAAAAGCATGATTACACATGAACCAAGTTTTCAAGACAACTTCAAATTACAGAAAAATCCCAGGCCTGACAAGCATGCATTTTGTGAAGAAACCTTAAAGTGTGATGAAATGAAAGTCTCAGAAATGAAGAGTTCCAAACAGAACATGAAGAGCAAGGCCACAAGTGTTACAGGTACTGCTGACAAGAGTAATAAGATGTCTGTGAAGGATAAATGCCTTGTTTCTGTTGATGGAGACGGAAAAGGTGATGGAACCCCTGTTTCAAAACTTATGCTGATGGATATTGTTCCCATGTCAGGTGCCCTGGACACAGAGGACAAGAAGGAAATAAGACGAAGTCTGGATGAATTTGGTAGCAGTTGTGCTGTGGGTGACCATGACATTAATAAAACAAATAAAAAAAGTAAAAAGTCAAAGTGCATGTTGCTGGAAGATAATGATTTTATTGGTGTGTCAGGTGGTGGTGATAACAGAAATGCAGCTGATAAATTGGGCACCTCATCGATATCAGCACCAAAAATCGAACCTCATAAGTTGTGTTCTTCAGTATTGCATGAAGGATTGAATGAGTACCATTTTGGAACTGAAATGCATGCTTTGCATGAAGTTACCAGAAATTCTGATTTTGAATCACTTCAGAAGTCTGAAGAAGAGACTTGGAGCTCACAAGTATTGGAGACGGCTATTGAAGAAAATTCTAAAAATAGAACAAGAAAGGTCTCTGAGAAGAAATCCTACAGTGGCAATACTGAGCTCAAAGCAGATAGTGATAGAGGCAGTCAGGAGAACCTTATATTCAGATCGACATTGGATGACATCTATGTTCCTCCTCAACAGTTGTGGAGCAATGTAGAGTCATCCACAAATAGAGACAGGTCTCCAGTTAGAGAAACTGTAGTCCCAGCCATTTCAGAGACTGTTTTGTTGAAGCTGGAAGAACTGAAAATATCTCCTCAGCAATCTTGGAGAGACATTGTCGAAGGTTCCCCATATCAGATGCAGATTGAGACAGCTTCAGATACAAACATTTACAGAGGGTTTGAATCTGAGAAGGGGACAGAGGATGTAGATGATTATAATGATGAAGATGTAGATAAAGTTACCATGAATTTAAGTAAGTCCCACAGTAGCGATCAAACTTCTCGTAGAAAGATGGTGACTGCCAGTGGATTTCTGAGCACTTTTGCCACATCAAAAAGCTTTAACGTAACTGCAGGTAATGAGGATTATTCTCAGTTGAATGATGATAATAATGGTATTGATGATGAACTGGCAGACAGTGGAGAGGCCACAAGTATCACTGCATTACAAGGGGCAAACAAGAAAAGTCGCAGAGCAAAAAAGAAGAGGAGATAATAAGTGTACATGTATTTTAAATCTTTAGAGTTTATTATATTTATTACTGTTTTCTATACATACCCAAAGATGTGTAAGAAACCCAAGTTCTGAGATAAGACAGCTCTTTGAAAATTATTGATATGTGAAAATTCATTTTAAAAAATAAACTGTTCTAAAGCTTTATTATGTTCAGAACCTGCAATGTTCTGCCGACCTAATGTGAGAGGTATTTTGTTTTGAAATAAACATGTTTTTCAAATGCAGTGTTTGTAACTTGCATCCTCGTTTGATTTGTTGCTCAGACACACATCTTTTGTTAGCAAAGTTAATAATGAAAATACTACTGTGCATAAAGACAAAAATTCTGTTGTGAACAAAGCTAATCAATAATTAAGGTAGTATACTTTGTTCAATTATAAATTAATTTCATAAGTACATATTGTGTCAAAAACTGTTCAGAATAAAAGTTAAACTTGGTAAAATATGTATTTTACAGTATTTAGCAATTGTTAATTTTGATTTGTTCTATATAACATACAGACAAGAGGAAGTTTTTGCTATAATTTATGCAGTCCAAAGTACAAAATTTTGTCAATCTGTTGAATAATGTCATAGAATAAACATGAGTATAGAGGAGCATGTACTCTCCATTGTACATTCATTTTCTGCACAAGTGCAGAACACACAACAATTTATTTTTGTTTCTGAATGTATTTATCATCATTTGAAGGAGCTGTGGTATATGAAATTATACACAATTTGAGCTGTAGGTAACCTAGTAGGCAATATTTTGAAAATGTCAACATATTTGACCTCTCAGAACTTGTAACATCATAATTTACACATCTGTGGATTTATCTGAATTCATTATGTACAGTGAGTATTGAGTTTGTATTATTATTTATTGAAAAGATTATTTATTACCAAGTCAGTAATTATGTGATTGTTATGTAATTTGTTTATAAAACACATGACAACTGTGTGTATGTTCAGTAAAAATATTTTTACATCAGTGGTACTTAAACACTCCATTGTTCAGGTTACATATTTTCTTAAATATTTTCATATGCCATGTTTAAATACCATGCATTATCACATTTCACACCAACTTGTTTTAAGATTTAAATTTTTCATTTCCCAGCCATTAATTCTGTTCTACCTGAAAGGCTAGAGTGAAGAAAAGTATGCTTCTATTTTGCACTTGCAGGTTCAGTTTTATTGTTGGCTAGCAGATGATTGTCTGGTATTGTTTCTGGGGGTGATTTCTCTCAGGATATATTATGTACTGTAACTGAACAGACGTGAATATCATAAAAATCTCCAATTTGTGAGCTATCATCAGGTTCTTTGTCTGAAATGTATGACAGGATGTTGGCATAAACATCAAAAATAATCCTTTTTTACCTAACCTTGCATTGGGCCTTTTTTGCATAACCACATACACATACATCAAATACTTGTGTGAGAATTTATTTGAAGAAGTGGAAATTATTATAAAGTCATGTTGGTCTGCAGGCCTAATGAAAGAAATTCTTTTATCTAAGCAATTCAGTGTCGATTAGCTAATATTTCCTTGTTCGTATGAGGTCAATTATAATGGATATGGTGGAGCATAGCAAATTCGTATCATAGGGTGATATCTGAAAGTTAATTTTCCCAACCCCTACAAACTACATTCAGATATAATATACAGATTCCTACTTGTAGCTTAGAAGAGATGGAAAAGTCAAAATTATGTTGAAGATTTCTGTCTTCTGGGTTGTTGCGCTGTGTAGACTGATCGCTTCATCACCCTGATGATGGAGGCAGTATGACCTCTGAAACATTGGTTAACATCGACCAATCTACACAGCGCAACAACTCAGAAGACAGAAATCTTCATACTCACCGCTGTGAAAACCTCAAATCTTACAAAATTATGTTATCTCTCATATGAGAGTGAAACTTCTTTTCTTATTTATAGATAAAGCATGCATAGTTTGACAGTATTTGAGAATAAAATTTGAAGAGAATTTGGATTGTGGTCTTCTGGATTATGATGTTACGTACTCTTATAGGTGGTTACCACATACGGGAGCTATGTGGCTGCACAGCATCATAACCCAGAAAACCCCAATCTAAATTTTCTTTACCATGGTTAATAGCCATGCATAAGAGAGATGAACTAATTGGAGAACCGAGAAATTACATGAACGCTTTACTCAATGTTGTCAGAGTGTTTACATTTAGAAGAACAGGTTCGATGGGACATACACCATTGAATGTGGGAACTAATTTAACAATAGCAATATGTTTTTTTAACAATTTCAGTTGAATTTTCAGAATAGGCATTGATGTCAAATGTAATCACACCATGGCATTACTTGGTTCAATATTAATTATGTTTCAAATTGTCTATCAGATTCTACCCTGTTGTTTGGTAAAACTGTACCAAGGTCATCCATGTGATAATGATACTCTAAGAACTTGAACATGTTGCAGAAGCAGTTGTAATAAAGAACTTTTCTGTCAGCCTTAGCTGATTGTGCTGTTTGAGTACCACTGTCATGGGTTGTGTGTAACTGAAGGTCTATGCTGAACTGTAATTTGAATGGTGCAACATAATTAGAATCAACATGGGCATTCAGAGGCAGAAGGGAACATTCAAGTGACTGTTTGGAACCAGATTGCAGATTGAACTGAACAGATCACAACTCAAAAATAATAACAAAAACATGACATGTATGATACATGACAGTTAGTAATTTTCTAAAGCTAAGACGCTGGGCTATTCTTGATTATGTTCGGAAATGGATATGTTTCTCTGTTAACACATTCATACCTGGCTAGAAATTCTGTGAGACTAGCCTTAGTCTGGCAGTTTTGCCAAACAGTCAAGTTTTTAAAACTGTATTAGACCCTTCTGCATTGATGCTATGTTGTGAAAGTCATCCGCTGATGCTGACATAAACTGCAATAATAAATTCAAAATCATGTGTCACTCATGGTCACAGGTCCATGTATTAAGAAGTTAACTCATTTTGTAGTACTGATACCTGGCTGAGTACATATCTTCAAATACAATTATTCACTCATATTTGTTGCATAATGAAGCCTATGTATGTAATATATCTTTTTATTGCTTAGGTTTTCTCTTTGTGTTAGATGTTACACTTTGAGATCAGTGTATGTGTCCTAGCAAGATGGGCTGTGTTCTGTTCATGAAAATGGAGTGATGGAGTGTTTTGTCTTTGTTCTCTCAGTGCAAATTTGATAGCTCATAACTGTTTCTAAATTTATAGTATTCTAGGTCAAATATTTAAAATCATGGGAGAATGTTTGTTGAACTTCGTACATTTTCTAAATGTAAAAAATGTACCGCACATCAGAGGCTGGCTTTCTATTCATCTTCATAGTTTTATCTAATGGGCTGCACAGTGTAGATATCTCTCCTACCTGAAGATGAATGCAGAGCCAGCCTAATGATAAGAAATAGCTTTATTAAATGGACATCAGGGAATAGGTTCCCTTTCCTTCTACCTGAAAACACAAAGCCAGCCACCAAAGCATTGTGTTTATTTCCTGGCTAGGCAATTGACAGTTATAACATTGCCATAAACCTTTGGAACATGAAATATCTAAAACTCTTTCTCATTTCTAAAGTGTTTATAAATAAATTTAAGCCGGGTTAGCTCAGTCAGTATAGTGACTGACTACATACTGGATGATAGGGATTCAATCCCTGGTGGGCAGAGGATTTTTCATCTAACCTCTGTGTTCAGACCACCTCCGGGACCCACCCAGCCTTCTGTCCAGTGGGTACAAGAGTCCTTTCCTGGGGGTAAAGCATGGCCAGGGCGTGACGCTGACTGCTCACCCCTATCTAGTGACGAGGTTAAGAGTGAGTAGGAGCTCTACCATTTCTCCCCACAAGCTCATATATGGCATGTAGTGGGACAGCTCTACTTTCTTCATTATAAAGAACTATATGTTTAGATGTTTATTTGCTCATAGCAAAGTATTGAATGACCTGAATGAGTTCATGAATATGTCTGTATCTGTCAGTGGTTTGCAAAATTATTTGTCCCCCAGCTTGTGTTAAATGTCAGTGAAAATTGTATATTCTCTTTTGGAATTAAGATTTGAAAATGTACCTCTCTGGACAAGGCTTTCTTTATAGTCTTAAGCCCTACTATGATTGTTTGTATTAATGGTCTGAGTACTAATATTCAGTTTTATAGATTTAAGAATTAATTATTCCTGCATTTCTTAGTAACTTTTGCTGCAAAAAAACTATTCATTATCAACAGATTGAAGATTTAAAATATTAATTATACTTCTGTAGTGTGTTTTGCAAAAGAAACTTTTGAACTTTAATTTTTCTCTGACAATCCTCTAGTAAATAATATGAATGTAAATTATATGAATTATGTGATTGGTTTTGAAATTTAAAGAAGAAAAAAGAATAATGTTGTAATATACCTATATATCTCAGGTTTTGTTAAGTGACTAAATGTGATGAAGGCTTCTTTGTTGATAAGCTCCATCAATATATGGTAATATTTCCATTATTTTGGAGATTGTTTGTGTCAACAAAATGTCATTTTTCACTCTGTTATTTCTTCAGCTGATCATTCAAGATGATGTGCCACATCCTTGAATTTAATTTTTGTTTTTCCCTAACAAAGTGTTGTATAGTTACAGAATGTCGCAGACAGACAAGAATCACTTCCCAACAGAATTGTAGAATTGGAATCCTAAACATTGTTTGAAACATACTGCCATGCTTTTCCCATTTTCCATTACATGTATCTGACCTTAAAATGTATAACACACTACTTTGCTGTTGTTATAATTTCACAGAGAGTATTGGAATGAGTCCTGAGCTAAAACCACTGCCTTATCAGTGTATTACATTGTCTTTCCCCTCTACCTCATCACAATATTTGCCTGACCTTGTCTGATGTTATGTTCTCTCTTGACACAACAAATTACTCTCTATTTGTTGAGATTGTATTTACATTGCTTGCATGTAAACTAGTTAGCAAACTTTAGAAATGTTGTAATCTGTATTCAGATTAATTTATGTACGTTGGGAACTAATTATCTCCATTTTCATTTGCCTGTTTTGTAGTCAGACATACAATTTGAAAATCTTAGAGAATGATCTAGTGGTAACTCCTTCCTGAAACTCTTGTTCATTCATGTATTTTAATTCCATGAATCCTTTACATAGAACACATTTATTTGAAGCTATGTTTTTAAGAGGTGCTATATTTTTGTTCATAGCCCCACATTACATGGTCTTTCTTGTATCAGGTGGTCGAGAAGCTCTCTACATCTGTGGAACTTATAATTCATAGCCTTGTATCATTATGGCGTTTAAATCAAGAAGAATGAGAAATAACAAATAGATGCAAAATTTTGGTAGAAAAACATAATTGAAGACATCACTTGGATGACCTAATTGTAGATCAGAGAATATTTTAAAATGGATCCTAGTGAAATGTAGTGTGAGGGTCTGGACTGGATTCAAGTGGCTCAGGATGTAACCTAGTGTAGTGGACTTTCATGAACACTTATGCACCTTTGGGTTCCATAAAAATGTTGAATTTCTTGACCATCTACACAGGTATACATTTTTAAAGGAAAACTGTATTATTGACTGAGTAGGTGTATTGTTGTAGGTTTTGGAATGTGTTTGGCTTGGAACAGAACTTGTTTCACATTGAAGCCCCTTTTGCCTTCCATTGGTTTGAGTAAACACTTTCCCAAGCTGCATCACAACTATAGCACATCAGTTAATGTAGATCATTATGTTCTGCTATGTTTGACATAGTTAAAGTCCAGGGTCATTCAGTATTGCACCCTAGTTTGAAACTATGCATGTAAGCATCTAAGTACTTTTAAAAGGAGAAAGTCTGATGTGTGAAATAAGCTATTGTACAGTACATGTGAGCTCATGTGCAAGAAAACTGGTTTTAATCAGCCTTTGTACAAATTATATAAATGCATAATAGTGAGGTCATTTCTGTCCACATGTTTCATCTCTAAAACTACTCACCAAGTAAGTTATATATATATATATATATATATATATATATATATATGTGTGTGTGTGTGTGTGTGTTTGGGGGGGGCACATTAAAATTTCTGTCAAATTCCATTTTGTTATGTGCCAGTTAATTGTATAAAAGATTAGTACATGACAGTTATTAAAATCTACAATTTTTTATGTAAACTTTTTCAGTCTTGTTTCTGACCACTAAAAGTGGTGTTAAGAAAGGCAGAAGTTATATGAACAGTGCAATATTATAAACCATTATATCTTAGTTTTTGTTAATTTCTTCAAACCCCATCAGGTCTATACATTGTGTTTCTGAGCTGCAACAATTACTTGTAGCCTGCTACTTGTTTCCTTCTCTGTTGGTTGGTCATGCAGTAATTCAAGTTCTCTGTATTGTAATCAAGTTACAGCCAGATATCATCCTTATTGTGCACATGCTATAATGTGACACTGTGGCAGAACTCAGACTTCATATTTTGCATTTCCCAGGATTAAATCTCAACCTGGAGACCAGCTAAATGGACTGACCTTTTATGTGGTTTTCCTCGATCCCTTCTTGATTATAATGGGATAGTAGCTTAGAGTAGGCCACAGTCACTATCAAATGCTTTACATTTAACATTCAGTATCACATTTCTTGATGCTATATAACCTCTGTTGATGGAAAAATGTAGTTAAGTAAACCAATCTATATTTTCCAGATTGTGGAAAATACCATAACTTGATATTATTTCAATAATTTCTGGATTTTATTGGTTCATGGACCAGTAAAACAGCAGTGGAGTTTCTGAGGAAATACAATATAATTATTATTAGCGTGTGTGAACATTTTTATTTACAATGTGATAATCAACACATTCTCAGATTTTTCTGTTCTCCAGGGATCTGAGGTTTGTAGCAACTCCATGCCCCCATTTCTAAAGGATTACAGCATTATAATACAATTTTAGTATGTTAACTGATTAGACTAAAAATAGTTTCTATTAAATTTTAATGGAAATTAAAATATGCCAGATTAAAGCATATCATGGCCTGCAAAATGCTTGTATTATGATTCAGATGATTAGTCACTAGTGCCTTTCTTTCTTCTGTTTAATTTGGCATGTACATTGTGTTTTTTAAAACAGTTGTGGTAGAACTGAAGTTGTTTATGCTTTTGTTCTGTATTTTTTTATCTATAGCAAAACAAGCACTGTACATGCATAACAGCAGAAATTGTGGATGATTTGTTAACACTGCTGTTTCATATTTGGGCAGTCCCAGGTTTCAAACCTGGTCCTGAATGAAGGATTTTTATGAATTTCCGTAGTTATTCTATTCAAATTATGGGATAGTACTTTGAAATAGGGCAAGAATTCTCTCTTCCACATCATTCACAAATCAGTGCTATGTGACCAGTACAATTGATAAAGCATTAAATAGACAGTAATCAGTTCATGCTACCTCTGTATAATTGCTTGCTGACAACTCCTTGTTCCATCCCATAAAGACCCCATTGAACTTCGATACTGCAGTGTATAATTAAATATTAAATGAGATACAGGGACTCTGTATTAATTTTTGTTAATAATTTATTCATCCATATTGTAAATATTCAGCCCTTAAAAGGTGTGCGTGTGTTGTTTCATTGTAATAGTAATAAGTGCAGGGAAGAACTTGAAACATATTTTAGAAACATGCAGAAAGTATGTTTGTGTGGTTTGTACATATGCCTTTCTGCGATCTCAAACACTGTGGATTAAAATTTCCATTGCAGGTGTTTATTAATTTGTGTTAACTCTCTTGCCTCCCACCAGAGTGCTTATTCCTCTTCTCAGATAAACTTTGTAGCCCTTCCCAATTAATGATTCAGTGCTGTGTAACACATGTTTTTATGTGTTAACTGCAGAAATATATACCATACTTGCTGAAATATCATGCCCACTCATAAGTACATCCTGAATAGCTAATTGTACATTATATTCATGCACATTCTCAATGGTATCATCTAATAAAATAGTCTAATAGCTTAATGAAGAAAACACCATGGTGTTTTCTTCATTAAGTCACCTTAAACGGCTGGTAGCTGGAGGAGAATTTATAATACTTAGTTTGCTGCGAAAGCTTCTGATCATACATAATAAAGTAGTCTGTCTGATAAAATTGAATGTTTAGGAATATAAGGAGCAGTTGATGACAGAGTTACAAAAATGAGACTTTTCATTATATAATGGCATATATATTAATAAATTAAGAAAGCATACATAATTTAGAGTATGTAAAACATAATTTTCATTCAATTCCATATTGTTAGTCAATGGTCAGGATCATAACCACCATTTATAACACCATGACTTTTGAAAAATAGTGGCTGAATTGTGATGGGATTTCCAAGTGTGTATTGTGTTCTAGGAACATGGTCCACCACAGTGCATTTGGAAATTTTTATTATTGCTTTATACTATATGGAGAATGTGAATTAATTTTATTTGGAAAGAAATACTTGTTCTTGTATGAACTGTTCACTTATGAGGAGCTTTTAATTTCTGAGTATCAAAGATTTCTTTCCGGAACTTGTCATTTACTAGAAACATGCATTTGTTAGGTATGAACAGAGTTCTTGCAATTTACTTGCATATGTTTGTCAGTATGCAAGGTGATACACTGCTCATATTTTCTTTCTTTCCTCATTTGTGATGTTCCTGGATGGTAGGTATGAAAGTATTAACTCAAAGTATGCCACAACTTTATGTGAAATTGAAATTTCATTAAAAATATTGCACTTGTTTACCCAGTGACTAAATAACCAGTTGCTCTTTTATAGTGTTGACTTTTCAACCGTATGGGACTCATTTGTTTTGGGGTAAGATACTGGATGCTCATTCAGTGTTCTGCACTTATTTCCTGGTCATATTTACATGCAAATTTTTCTGCTCACATGCATGAATTAAGAAACTCGTAGGAGTTAATTTTCCAGCCCCACTCTGTGGTATGTTGAGCATATTTAGCTGTAGATTCTCTCTGCCAACCATTATCGTCATAAATCATGCTACAGTAAGTAGATTATAGACTTGCCTGGGGTCAGCAGGAGCCAGAGAAGATTGTTATAGACCATCTGGGGGCATTTGATACCAACAGAGGAATGACCATTTTAACCATATTTGTAAGCCTGCCGACAGTTTTACAGGATTTAACATGACATGTTATATTAATGCAGGTTTTGTTGAAACTCAGAAGTTTAACACACAGTGATGGGTAGAACAGACATGGTAATATGTGCTTCCAGTGTCCCTACATTCATTAAATAAGGCTCAAGTCATTGTATATCATCTGTGTGAGCTAAAAATTGACTTTATTCCTGTTAGGTGGGAGCCAGTCCTTGGCGAGTTATGAAGACCTTAGCTCCAGCAGTTTTAGTTCTGCAAGTCGTGCATCATTTGATGCACGATGTTCACCATCACCATCCTACTGTGCAGAGAATGCCCTCGTATTTCCTGGAGATTCCAGTGGCTCTGTGTGAAACAATCAAAAGGCAAGCCCAGAATTTCTTTATATAAATTGGTTCCCAGACCAAATGCCTACCTACCAGATAACATCTGGATACTGGAAATGGCTGATCCTGCAGATGTAATCAGCTGTTAAGGACCTATACCGACAGAGGGAGTCAAGTTCCTGCTAACGCAAAGTAGCTGAATACAGGTTGTTTGCATCACTTGGTTATATGCAGTACCAGTTGCCTCACTTATCAATAATTTTACTCATACTTTTAATGTATGTTGGAACAACCAAATGTATATTTCAACTTGATTACATACATTAATCTGAGTTGGTTTGCTGATTACCAAGTGTTGCTGCATTTATAAATATCTGCATTTGCTTGAAGCAGTATTGTTTGCTGCCAGCAGTCAGTCAAGTAAGAGAAATCAGACAATTAAAAAGAACTAATTCAATATGTAACTGTGCCCTGAGAAACCAATTTCAAGTCCAGGCTTTTGTAACAATCCCATTTTTTCTGTTGTCAAAAGTTATAAAAGGTCTTAATCACCATTGTCTACTAAACATTCCTTGTATGGTTAAGAGAACTGTATCTGATGTATAGCGGTTATCATACATAGATTACGTATAGAAATTAGTTCTGTCTGTCTGCCCCAAGTGGAAAATACAGCTACTTAGATAAAAATTATTTAGTTATTAGATTGTCTTAGTGTAATGATTATTTTTGGGATCATGTTGAAAGTGGGATACATTTAAACAAAAACAGGTAATTTTTTTAAGGTCAGACATTATTCAAAAACACAGTGATCTTTAATTGTACCTAAGAAATTCATAGTTTATGTACTGTAATCAAAACGTGGGTTATGAGAAACAGTGACAGGATTAGAATAGCAGCTGCACACATGGGATTCCTTAAATTATTATTGGTTGTAACTTCTTACAGTTATAAAGAGACAGACTACACAATATAGTGTAAACCAGAAACAAACTTATGACACAGAATTATCCAGTAAATTGGAGACAACATGTAGACAGAATGCAAGGAGACAGAATCCCTAAAATGGCTTACATACATGCTTCCAGAGGAAAAAGAATATAATAAGACATAGAAAAACCATTTTAATCCGTACCTCAAAACAGGATTGAAGAACCTGATTGTTGTAAATAAAGAAAAGGAAAATAATTAGCATTCCAAAAAAGCATATCTGACCAAAGTATTTGTGGTGTTTTTAAAAACAGGTTTGTAATTATATATCCCCATTTTAAATTATTATAATGATTCGTATGGTTCTTAAACATATTTATATTATAAGTATTATTATATTTTGGAAAATAATAAAATGCACTTTCATAATAAAGACTTTGTCTACATGATTTGAGGTTGTCATGATGTGAATATAGATGGTGGTCTGGGTTGTTACACAATATAGTATTCTGACTGTGTGCTGACATTTCAGATTTATCAGCCAGAATATGATTGCGTGGTGCAACAACTGAGAATATCACTAATTAGGTTTGGTTTGCATCTGTTATTGAATTGTTATAATGGCCACTTGTGCCAGGTATAGAAATCTTAGTTGACAAAACTCCATGATTGGAGTCCATTGTTGGAGCTTATGCAATTTTCCATTTTGCTACAGTCATTACAAGGCTGTCTGTTTCAGACTAACATGTGGAGTAAGGAGTTTTGGAACAAGTAATCTCAATATAACAAAGATGCTTTATGTTAGGTTGACAGTCTGTCTACACGATGATTCTTGATTATAGTTTCAGTGTTTGTTAAGAATCCACTACATGTTTTGACCTTAATTGGTCATCTTTGGATGGTTCTCTTTAAGTTTTCAAAACTAATAGATATGACAGCTAATTTATATACACATTTACACAACAGAAAATGTGTGTACAAATTAGCAGTGATATCTATTTTGAACATTCAAAGAGAACCGCCTGAAGACGATCAATTAAGGTCGAAACATGTAATGGATTCGTAATAAAAATTGAAAATACAATCGAGAATCATTGTGTATATGGACTCTCAACTTAGCATAATACAGGATGCATCCCTTAAAAAACTGTAATAAAGATGTATTTAATTATAAGTGAACTTGGAGTGTAAGGTTAATTTATATTTTATTCTATCAGCAAGAGTGTGAGATACAGTCATTTAAACTATATGGTTATTCCAGAAAGGTTCCATGTGACAGATTAGTGGTTTTGTCAAATCATAATTTGTAAATGGTTCTGCACCATGGGGTAGTTACTTCAGGATTCCAGTTTTATAAATATATGTATTACTGGGCCAGAGCGATTATTCCTTTTATATGAAGCAAATCATGTTTAGCAGAGAATTAGTTTTTAATTAGTAAAGTAGGTTTCATTATGAAAATTTAACTTTAAATGTAAAATTATCAAGGTATGATTTAAAATTATGATGTAACTACTTTTTCTGTTGGAAGTTTTGTGGCAAAATTGCATTTTTATGCCTTACTTTGTTGTTAACAGATCATCATCCCATCTTTCATTTGATGCTACATAACTTCAAAAGTTCAAATGCTGCTATAAAAGAACAAGGAACAAACAGCAGTAATATACATCAAAGAGCTTTGAAAGGAAAGTACTAAATGAAAATATTTATACCAAAGTGATATGAAGTGAATGGGGAGTGGAGACTAGTTAATTTGAATACTAAATTGAAATTTTAATTAAGTAGTTTCAGAAAATAGCCTTTGTTGTAAAATGGTGCTAATACAGTTATGGTATTATGCTGTTACTAGTATTTAAAATAAAACTTGCTTTTTTATGTAAATTTAACCCCTGAAAATGCTCTGGGAAAAATTACCATTCCTTTTCATTACCATGTAGTCAAGGATATAGGTATTACAGTAAAAGGAGACTTGACCATTCCCAGGCCCTGAGCATCACAGGACCTCTTTCTGCATTTAGGCAGTCTGTACTTTAACTTAATATATTATTAAATTTGCGTCCCTTTTTTATTTCTGTTTCATGTCTATCAGCATTTGACAACGTTCACATTTCTTTCTCATCATTTCTTGTAACTGCACCATCACCAAGTTGTTCTGACATTTGTAAAATAATATGAGAAAAAAGGTTTCTGCAGTTTTAATTGATGTCAATTTCAGTGTTTTTGGTTTGTGTAAGGATGGCATTGGGTAGGATAAGGATGTGTGAAGGTACAATGTATATTATATAGGTGAGCCTAAACTTTTAATTTGTGCCAAAACTTCCAGAAATATCAGTACACAAGTGCATGTAGCATGTATTATCTTTAAATTTACAGAAAATATGATATGTGTAATTGTCAGCTTCTATTGATTATGTTCATTTTGTTTCAACCCTCTTCACAGTCTGCCAATAAGGTTTGTATCAATATAATGCAGTCTAGTTGTATGTAAAAGTCCAAGTAAATACGAAACTTTTTAAATTCATTTTACTGTTAACTTTTCTCAGGAAGGGTATTTTTTTGATTGGGGGGGGGGGGGGGGGTTGCAGCTATAAACCACTCAATGAAACGAACTGGATATTCATTGAATTTTGAAAAGTCAGAATACCAGTACCTTTCCTTGCCCTCACCCAAACCCCAAAAAATCTTTTATTTTTAATTTTTTTTTCAGGTGTTAACTAAAAACATGTATCTTTGTGTTGTCTGTAATGCAGTGAATACAGTATACAGTTGAGTCCTGATTAATTGACCTAAACAGGATTGAAGGATGGTCAGATAATTGAAAGTATCAGATAATACAGAAGACTAATAAAAAAGACAAGGGTAAATACCAACTCAATTTGTAACTCAATTTACAATATCATTAAATTACAAAGAAAATACAACATGGCATCAAATAAAAAAATCTCACAAAGAAAAATAGTATTTAACATAATGTAAATTTGTAAATGAAGGTGTTTTTTAAAGAAGTGTTAATTAATACATCAGATAAAATAGAATGTTGGATAACTGAAAGTCAGTCCACTGCTTTTCTTGAAGACACAATGCTTAATATACTTTTTCAGGTTAATTAATACATCACCACCCAACAAGTAGATTAAAAAACTTGGCCTCAGCTTCATACAGAGTGAAAGTCATCTTATAATCAAGTTCCAGATAAATGTAGAGCATACTGGATAGTTCTTGTGTTCTGTTCTTTGTGTCTGACATGAGAAGTTGAGTCATATGTGAATTCATGTTCATAAGCAAGGTATTTTTCATCTGCTGTATCATGGTCCTGTTCTGGAACATACACCTATATTAAATGCACTACATATCTATTTCATTACTGAAGCATAGCCTGAAATGAAAGAAATATCACATTATTATAGATGATATTAATTCTTTTTTACTGTTGTAATTTGTATCAATTTAATTCCAACATTTACATTTATGTAATATATTACCCATTTTTGTAATATGCTTGTAGCAGTTGTAAAAACGTGATGCTTGTGAGAGACAAAGAAAATGGATTTATTTGAATATTATTAAACTTTATTAATTTTGTCATTTAATTTAACAGAACACCATGCCATGCAGATGTTAGGAGACTGGGTGGGCACAGGAGCTGGTTTGGACATTGTGGTAAGGGGAAAAATTCCTGAAATTGAATCCCAGTTAGCCATTGTCATTGTAATTTCAGAAGCTGTCCTGTTTAAAAAACTTCATACAGCAGCAAAAGAGTAAAATGTGTGTCTATAATGACAATATGCTTCTTTTAATGTTTTTGTCAGAGGGCTTCAAATTTCTGTGTTCTTCATAGTAGACAATCAAGGAAGGGAAACCATCTGTAATCAACTCAGTGATCTTGACTTTGTATCTCACTCTGCATATAATACAACCAAATTCATGTTGTTGTTTTATTTTGTATTTCCTTACTTTGGTAGTGAGTATATTTCAATTGGCAGTGTTCTTCTGGCTTATGATGCTGTGTAGACTCATAGACAGGTAGATAACAATGTGTTGGACAAATATACTGTCTCCAGAACATTGTTATCTTCACCACCCTGAGAACCTCGAATCTCACATGTCAGTTGCTGTATATAATATATATTTAATGGTTTAATTTTAATTTGTTATTGATGTTTCTTTGCATAAGAGTGGTAGTAGTTGAGAACAGTTGTGTATTTGAAGTTCTCATATATTTCATTGTGTCAATAAGGACATAGTAGAATCATGATGGCCAGTGATTAATTTGTGAGATAAATTACATCAGAGTTTTCCGAATATTTGTATGAGACTGGATTGTTGCATATTTTTCAAATGCTCTGTTGAACCCCATTGACTGTGGCCTTGTGTGTACAGATTAAACTTTTGAGAGTTAGAAAAATAACTTAAAGTTTGTAAAAGACAATGTTGTCAAGGAAGACATTTGGTTCTAAGTCCTGGCAGGCCCCATCACAGATTAAACACTGATATATTTCTGATTGTGTTGTTAGCTGAGCAAATGCGATCAAATGGATTTTCCAAGAAGACTGATGAATTACTGTACTGGGTGTGTATGTATGTGTGCTGATGCCTCTATATTGTCTCTTGTTCAGTTCTGTTAAATGCATTGTGAACTAGATTTTGTATGAAATGTTTGATCATTTAGGAATGTGGGAAGTCAGAAAACAAAACAGTGAGCAGAGTACCTTATACTGAATGTACATACTGTTTGAGCATTTCATAAATAAAAAGAGAGCTTCATATTAAAATCCGATTTTTGTGACAAGCCTGAAACTTCAGGTGTAGAGTCTAGACATCTGTAAATTCATACATGGAAGATCTCACAGTGTGAACAGATAAGAAAGTGTACAGATAGCCATATAGTTGTGTTCAGGATGGACTCAATCCATCTGTGCAAGAAAAATTCGGTTCAGATGTATGAACCAGTGATTTGAAACCTCTTATGATTCCCACACATATGAACCAGTGATGAGTTTTCTGATTATCAGTACATTGTAAAATACAAATAATAGTGTACACATTAATTATTATGAACATGTCTAAACATATTTACTTACAATATAAAAATCAATACCTTTATGTGGTATTAAAATCAAAGAATGTCATAATCACCCACATTGAGCATTTATAAACATTATGTGCAAAGGCACATAAAGTAATTTGTCAGACATATCCATTTTCTAAGGATCTGGAGTTTATATATATCAAACTCTCTCTCTCTCTCTCTCTCTCTCTCTCTCACTCACTCATCTGTGATGACCTTCGCTTCTCTCTGCACAGAAGCACCAATAATCATCCACACTTAACATTCAGAATTAAAAATTATACATAAAGGCATATTCATTAATTTCAGTTGTCAGTATCGTGATATACAGAGTATACCATTTACAACACAAAACAGCAACAATCGTACTACTGTACAAAAATCAAATTAGAAACAGGTCCACCTCCATGCAACAGACTCTCCAAACCTACTCCATGACACTCAAATGAAGGTGACCATGTTTGTAGGCCACTATTCATGCCAGTTGCATGGAAGCTATGCAAGTTCGTAAGCAGAATGTGTGCTCATTCTTGGACATTACTTAACATCTAAGTCACTTGTTGCTGTTCATGAAGCATTTAACATTCATTGAAGATTTGTGTGTGATGTTCAATGGCATCAGAATCTTGTGACCCAGTTTATTTCTCTGTTGGAAGGAAATGAAAAGGATTGCTGATTTTGACATGCTGGGGTGATGGTCCAAACTGTGAATACAAGAATAGCTTTACTGCAGAAGTTCTCTGTTGAGCACATTATTGAGTGTTGCCTTTCACCACCACGATCTCTGGATTTCATCCTGCCAGACATTTTTCTATGGGGATTTGTCAAAGAAAGAGCTTTGAGGAGTTGAAGCACAATATTGAACAGAATTGCCACCACTGGTCCAGAAACACTTTGCAAGTTGCACAAAGTGGATGCTTCTCTTTGAGAATTTAGTAGACATTTGCAGCATCTGCTATAAAGCTGTCTTCCTCACCACTTGCCAGTTACACTATTAAACATTCCAAAAGTAGAAAGGAGAGAAAGTAGTAATATTCAGCACAAACTATTTAGCTGATAAAAGGAAATGAGATAGTCACTGTTATAAAAGAGAGATTCAAAGTGCTCACAATTATTGAAGTAGTCCAAAGGTTTCTGACAATGGTGTATTATAATCTGTAAAACTGTTTTCTTGTAGTTTTTCTGCGGTCACATTATAAATGAAATCACAATGTTTTGGAAGCTTGATGGACAAAGTCCAAGAAAATAATAGTACAGATTATTGACAATCATTCTTTTTCATTAGAATTTATTTGTTTTTGAATGTTTTACAGTTTTATCGCTTTTCAACACATTCCTCCTGCTTCTCAATACACTTCATCCTACAGTCCATGAGTTTTCTTTTACTTTTTTTCTTTTGAGTACATAACCATTCATGCACCACTTCCTTCACTTTGTCATCGCCTGTAAACTGGCAGCTTCTCAGTTTCCTACAAGCATCCAAACAGGTCTGGACTGTATGGTGGATGGTTGAGAGCTTCAGATTTCAGTTTCTGAAGGGTTTCCTTTATACAAGCAGCCGAATGAGGGTGGGCATTGTTGAGCAACAAAACACCCCACAGTGATCTTTCTCTCTATTTTTGCACCTGTGACTTTCAACCCTTCCATGCCTTTTGTTCATTCAAAACAAACCAGAGCATTTTGTACTTCCATGATGCATTTGACAGTGGTTCAGCCATGTTCACAGTCCAAATGCAACTGACACACCAAGTTAAAAATTACCTCGAGCAAGTTTCAGCATGTTGGCTCATGAATTTCAATGCTGCCTACTGTTAGCAGTCTTCTTGATAGTTTAATATAATTACTAGCTGTGGTAAAATAACTATAATCTAGTGCTAACAAGAATTTGTGGACCAGCAGCTGTACATGAATAATTGGTTGAGAAACACTGCTATTTATGTACCCAATGCCAGTTATTATCTTATATTCTGGAGCAACTGTTTATACCTTATTAATGGACCTGAAAAATCAGAAAATTGTACCTGAAAGAATTATAAAAAAAAAATAAAGGAAATCCTTGATGTGATCCTGCTAGCTTATGATGGCAAAATTTTGTATATCTAACAAGATTTGGATTTCAGATATCATTGCTTGTGTTTCATACTCTTCCCAGTCACATTTTAATATAGGAAGTATAAGTAGTGTGAAATACACACAAGTAAATATACAGAACAAAATTAATATTGTCCATCAAGTTAAAACTACTAATTGTGGACTTTCACCAAAAATGTACCTGATAACCAACTTTCTTTCATTTGTATCCAAGGTTTGAATGAGGGTAATGTGTGGATGTAATGTTCTAGTGTAGTTTTATTACTTTCTTTTATACATATTGTATCATCTGCCAACCAAAACTCACCAAGTCCTCTGACAACTGAAATAGATCTACCTATATAGGTAGCAGCCTGCTTTGATATTTTATGTAATTCAATAAAGAAAATACATAACATACATATGTTGCTGGAGAATAAGCACCCAAGCTTGACAATAATTTCATGTTCTTTCATAAATCTCAAATGCTATAAAAATTTGGACTTGGTGAATATTGGCTGCAGACATAGTTATAGTAGAATGGTTTGTCTTGTAACTGAACTAGGGAAGAATTTAACCATAAAATGTCAAGACATATGAGACCATGAAAGGAATGGTATGCACAGTTCCCTGAAAGCCACTAGAAAATGTAGGTAAAAGTTGACAAATTTATTTTGGTTTGATTTGTTTAATTTGTTGAAGCAAGTAAATAGAGAATTTCATTAAAATTTAAACCATTGTACCATTATTAGTAGCTGCAAATAAATCTTTGAGAAACAAACTTTTAAAACCTGAAACTAAGTACAAGTTTCTGTGAAGTTCAAAACAAAATTTCAGCCTCATTTCATAAAAACTGTGAAGAGTATATTTTATTACAAGACTTGCATGGCATATTCTGTATATAGGATATTTGGAGACTTACACTTAAAGGATTAAAATATTTTCAAGAGAGGCTTACTTGTGATATAGCTACTGTTACTGAAGAATGTATTGCTCATTTATAAGATATGAAGCTTTCATAGTGACTGAATGCATTGAAGTATTTGTAGGTAATCAGCCATGATTAGCATGACATGAGAATGGCATTTGTTTCCAGACTGTCTCTTCCTCCATTATCAAGAATTGAGGTCAGAAAAGAGTTTCCAAAATGTTGAAATCTAATTCCATTCTCATATCCTGATCACTCAAGAAGCCGTTGTTTGATGAGTATTTCATTACATGTACAACTAGTCTCATACTGTCTTAACACGTAGGCATTTTTGTGGCTCTGTTCTAAATGTTAATCAGCAACAGACATATTTTGTCATTAATGTCTTGTGTAACTTGTCTAATTATACATATTGCTTTTTATCATAGACTTTACTATAATTTATGTCAAAAGAAATTCATTTCTTTTCATAAACCACTTAGCATAGAAATAAATAATATTGGCAGTTGATACATTATGAATAAATCATTTTAAAGACTACAGAACCTCTGTCATTTGGGTTTGTTTTTTCTCAGTGTGTCCAGTGAATTTATTTATCTTTATGCATGTGGCTTGTATTTAGGAGATGCCCAGTTTGAATCCTGCCTGGTTTTCCTATGGCTCTCTTCGTTCAGGCCACAACAGCTTCTGCCACAATCCAAAGGACTGTGATCTTCAAATTGCATTTTACATTATGCAATCTACAGTGTTATTAAGTAACCTATGAATCATAAAGCCTTGTCCTTCCTGGTTATGTACATTTCACTTCTCCAAGCCCTGTTTCTTCTGTTCTTTGCAGCATGTTTTCCGTTTCTCCAGCTAAGCCTACCTGGTAGCAGTACAGAATCTTCTGTGATGACATGGATCCTTGCTGTTAGCCTAATATCAAAACCTTTCCACATTAAGTGTGAACTAAAATAATGCTATTCTTTTTGTCACTTTCACTAAAAACCATTTTCCCGATCCTGCCTCTTCAAATTTTTGTGTTACTCCTATCATAACTGTATAATTCTTTTCCTTGTGCCTGGTCTAATAATTCTACTGAGTTGACCCACTTAAATTCTCTGCATCCATGTGCTTTGAGATCACTCATTTTAAATGTCTTGTATACAGTACATGAAGTATCATGGGGTAGTTCATTTTACTGTGTTCTACTGGAACAGGTGTAGCAAAGAATTGCATAGTAGTATTCATTCTATCTTCATGTATGGAATCTGGAATTTGTTATTTTGATTCCCTAAAAGCCTGATTTCCTCAGTCTGTAAACCTCTCACTTCTTTGACTCTCTTCAACTTACAAATTCAGTATTTATCTATGCTTATATCTTCAAGAAATTCGTTATGAAGTGAGCAAATAAAGACATTACATGACAAGCAACTTCATTATTTATACAGGTCATATAGTATTGACAGGGTAGTGAAACAGAGGAGGTTTTGATGGAATCTGTATGTTATCAGGATGGGGCATACATAGAGTCAAGGACTACATACAGAATTGTAGTGGGGAAGTTTAAAATGGCTACTTGTAAGACCAAGAAGGAAATGGGAGGTAGATTGTGAGGGATGGGAGGTGAATGAATCTAAGTCAGGATTGTATCCAATCATGGGCTTTAGTATAGTATTGTTGAATCTTCAGATTCTGCTATCTTAGTATTGGATGTGAACTTGGTGGAAGTGACTCAGGATGATCATGGAGATCAGTCTGTTTATAGTAACCTGCTGAATAACTATGAACTGCTAAGTGAAAGCATTGCATTGCAGCAGTTAGGCTCATAACTAAAAGATAGTTCATCTGACTAGAGGTATCTGGTCTGGATACATATCAAAGAAAATTTGCCCAGTGGGTTTTTGTGATGTTTTTAGTTCCTCCTACAGCAGGGAACAAGAATTTTAACTGATCTCAAGTGGCAATGCAGATGACTTGTGCTCATAAGTTTTCTGGTTCAACTCCCAGCCAGAGGACCAGGAACTTAACAGGCTTTTGTAATTTTTGTTTGCTGGATTGTACTTTCTAAGAGCCTTGATCACTTCATTCCAAATTCTTTCATTGTTCTTACGTATAAAGCTTCCACCACAACAACAAAACATCACGTATCAGTTTTAAGAATTCAACTTTTAGTATCACCCCTCCTTCCTTACATACAGAAGCCTTAGTTCATTCATAGCTTGAGAACATTTTACAATGATCAAAAGTGTCCTGAATTCAAGTCCCTTTGAAAGTGGTTTCTGTAGCTCTGCACCTAAACATTACAGCTGAACAGCACCAAAGCCAAAGCTGTTTGGAAAAGGAGATAGCAGAAATGAAAACCAAACCTATGTTCCTGTCCCAGTGTAGCTGGTTTCTGCAGCTTGGAAACTAAGCACAGCGCTATGACCTAAGTCTTTTGTTTCAGTGAGATTAGAAGAACAAGGGGCACAACACCGAAAATGGGTCCTGGTGTTTTCTGTGCCTTGCATACAAAGGGCGGTAGGAAAAGACAGATAAGAACTGCATTCTGTATCTACGAGGAAACTACAGATACAAAGTACACAACCCTGAACAAAGATGATAATAATTCAATTCAATTCAATTCATAACACCTGAAATAATGTCCTCGGTTTGAGTTACTGTAATGAGAAATGTCGACAGCTGCATTTCGCTATCGAATATGTATTCGATAACACCCATCACAGATAACACCAACATATGTACAATTCGTATTACAGACATTCCTTATTCACCTGTGCCCACACATATATGGCAAATAACCAGCGTATTTGGCATGTGCATTCAGGATTACCAAAGTGACATTATATAACATACCAATAAACGAATACCATTGAAAAATACGTACATGTAATGTGTAGAATAATTGATGTTACTTATCCAATGCAATGTTGTAGGAAATGAATTATAATAGTTACTTTGCAAATTTCCTGTTGTGAATTTTAGTTCTAAGTAGTATATTTATTAATCTAATATTGGTAGCTGCTTATCAGGTCTTTTCGTGCTGCAGAAAAGGAAGTAAGGTCGTTTGTGGGACGGTTAAAATAATGCAATCGAACGTTTTAAGCCGCCTCTCCTCTACATTAAAAGTTAGTAATGGGGATTGTTCATTAATTTCAATGTTTTGGTAATGGATATTTCGTATAAAGCTGTATTAATAAATGTACAGTGAAACCTTATTTTCTCTTGTTGGGTTACTGCTGTATTCAGTTGGGTTTTTAAGTACAGTCAATTAAAATTGACACAAACTAAAACCCAATTAGCAGTTTTAGGGCAAGTTTGATGATATATATCAAACTGCTTGTAATGGTTCTTATTTGAAGATCTTTTACGTTTAGTTCTTCCTCTCCGGTTTTGTAAGACACGGTCATTGGTATAATACAAGGAGTGGTTAATACACTAAGGTTAGGTATTTTGAGTGCTTGTTTTCTATTTACAACAATCAACCTTCCAGTTCAGTAACTGATTAGAATGTAAGTCTTGAGGTTCTCACAGCGGTGAGTATGAAGATTTCCGTCTTCTGGGTTGTTGCGCTGTGTAGTCTGGTCGATATATCATATTCATCGCCCTGATGGAGGCAGTATGAACTCTGAAACGTTGGTTAATATCGACCAGACTACACAGCGCAACAACCCAGAAGACGGAAATCTTCAACTGATTAGAAGGTTGGGTAAGACAATAGTTTTTAGATTATGTCTTTTTCTTTCTTTGTATTAGAAAGTTGTTGGTGTTTTACCGACATTAATAGAATGTTGAATTTTAATGTCTGCTTATTCCAGTTCTAAAGATTATATGAAGTTTCAAACTGGAGCCTTTTTGTTTTTGTTGTTACAAGTGTTTCCTTCAGTAATAGCAAGTACCCTAATCTTGTCCGGTTTTATTCTGAAATGCAGTTATTATTAATATTCTTGTATCATTGATATTATTGAAGAGAGAGCTGTTTGTATTGGACATATATGATAACCTTAACTTGTTTGTAGCCAACATGTATGCAACATTGCAAAAGGATGGCACCATCCCTGTCAGCTCTGCAGAACAGGTTATATTCAAGTGGTCAAGAAGCAGATGTTGTTGTCATTGGCTCAGGTCCTGGTGGTTATGTTGCTGCCATTAAAGCAGCACAGCTTGGATTGAATGTAAGTAGGCTTATAATTTTATTAATATCATGTATTAAAGGTCTGCCATTCTTATCTCTGCTACTCAGATCCAGATTTCAGTGGAATCAAAAGGTTAGATCAGTGTGACACAGGATGTTGTACAGTACCAGTGCTTCTCTCCTAAGTCATAGCATTGTTGAAGTCAATAAATAGTTGATGTACTGGCCCATTACATGTACTCTAATTTTTTTCCACACTATTTGACAAATGCGTTATCTGTTTAGTAGCTGATCTGTTACATAGAAACCCATATTGATGATCTCCAGTAATTTTGTCTATATATGTAATTAATTTTTATAAAGTGACAGCAATTTAAAAAATAACAGATACTCTGTGAGCACTATATGCATGAATGTTTCAGACTGTATGTATTGAAAAGGAGGCTACACTTGGTGGTACCTGCCTTAATGTTGGCTGTATACCTTCTAAAGCATTATTAAACAATTCACATTATTATCACATGGCCCATTCTGATGATTTCAAGAATAGAGGAATTGAAGGTAAACATACTACAATTTAAATATTGTCCTAATAATATAATTTGTGTCATAGTGTAAGTGGCTAATTAAATTCTGATTTTAAGTTCCTCAGGTATCTTTGAATCTGGAGAAGTTCATGGGTGCCAAATTAGCAGCAGTTAAAGCACTGACTGGTGGCATTGTGCATTTGTTTAAGCAAAATAAGGTAAACATCATATCTCTTACTGTATACTACATGCTATAAATAGGAGCCACATTAGCTCAGTCAATATGGTGATGGAGTACAGACTGGACAACTGGGGCTCAATCCTTGGCAGGGGCAAAGGATTTTTCTTGTAGCATATATGTCTAGATACGCTGTGGGGGCCTTCTCAGCCTGCTTTCAAGTAGACATTGGGGGTCATTTTCTTGGTTGTAAAGCACAACTTGGGAATGGTACTGACCACTGATCCCAGTTGAGTGCTAAAGTCGAGAACAAGTAGGATCTATAACTTCTCTCCTCCCCCCAAAGTGCCTCCAAGGTGTGTACCAGTGACAGTTTTATTTTTATATGTTATAAATGAGAACATAAATGTTTTATGATCATTGTTAAAAGGTTTTTATATAACTAACTAAGTAGATGGCTTGTGGAACCCGAAGGTTCATCACTGAGTTAACCAAAGCCCTCCACCAGTCCCTGTCCTGGGCCAACAAAATTCAGTCGCCTTCAACTCCTATTTCCCATAGATCCCGCTTGATATTATTTCCCGTCTACATTTAGGTCTCCCCAGTGGTCTCTTCCCTTCAGTCTTCCTCACAAATACCCGGTGCATACCTTTTGCCCCATCCATGCGCGCCACATGCTCTGCACATCTCATTTTTCTTGGCTTAATCAACCTGACAAAATGGAAGAGTACAAATTTTTAAGCTCATCATTATGCAGTTTTCTCCTTACCCCATCCTCTTCTCTCCTAGGTCCAACTATGCTCCTTAACACCCTGCAATCTATGTTCCTCCCTCAGAGTGAGAGACCATGTTTCACACCCATACAAAACAACAGGCAAAATTATTTTGTTTATGTATGTATAAATAAGTTATAATTTTATTTATTTTTGTAAGTTAATTGATATAAACTATGCAGCATAAGAAAGTCTTTGGTCAAAATTTGGGGCACGTTTCCTCTTGAAGTAAGCTTTATAGTTAGAAAAATTAGAGTATTGCATAATTTAATATTTTGCTTTGTTGTCATCAGTTTTTATTAAATTTGTCATCTCGTCATGTAAATATCTGTGCAAATGTTGTATTAACAGGTTACTCTTGTGAAAGGCCATGGAAAGATAACAGGAACCAATGAAGTTACAGCCTTAAAAAAGGATGGATCAAGTGAGGTGGTTAAAACTAAAAATATAGTAATTGCAACTGGGTCAGAAGTTACACCTTTCCGAGGGATAGAGGTGAGCATGAATGGATATTTGAATTTAGAAATAATCTGTTATATTCCACTACTGTTTCTTCCCACTGTGAAGTGAGCAGTGGGCATATGCAAATATTATTTAACCCTTTCAGTATCAATCTCCTAAATAAGCACTGTTGAACATTTCTTTTTAAGTTTTATTTGAATTTAATTTTTTTAGAAGGGAAACAATTACCATATATTTCCCGGCGCTGCAGCTTTTTTACCTCTGCCACTAAAGGGAATTTCTTGTATCAATCTGAAGTGAAGTGATATTTTTAATAGATTTTTAGTTCATACAAATTGTTTCTCTGTCACAAAAGAATTTTCCATCTCAGAGTTATTTGATAGTGTCTGATTTTTGCAGATTGATGAGAAGACCATAGTATCATCGACTGGTGCGCTTTCCTTGTCTGCTGTACCCAAGAAACTTGTTGTTATTGGAGCTGGTGTTATAGGCCTTGAATTGGTGAGACTGTGTGTTTTTCCAATATTTCCTCTTTCTCTAGTTTCCTCTTTACTGCTCATGTTATTTTACTTTACAATCATTCCACATATTAAAGGCATGATTAAATGTCTTATTTGTTGCAGGGTTCAGTATGGGGCCGTTTGGGAGCAGAAGTGACAGCAGTTGAATTTCTGAATTCTATTGGTGGAATCGGTATTGATGGAGAAGTGTCCAAGACTTTTCAGCGAGTTCTAGGGAAGCAAGGGATGAAATTCAAGCTGGGTCATAAGGTGACAGGTGCCCGCCAAGAAGGGAGCAGCATCAAAGTTAGCGTAGAAAATGCTAAGGACCCCTCAAATAAAGAGGAGGTGAGAAGACTTAAGTTGCATTCGTTTTAATTTCGTGGCAGCTTCTGTTGTTTCTGCGGTGTAAGTGCAAGAATGTATGTTTAATTATTGTTGCACTAAGAGACTATTATTATTCGTAGCAGATTCAGAGCTCTTCATGAAATGACCAGTAATAATATATACGACCCAACCCATACAAAGTTTCTTGCAGTATGTTCCAACATATGGGGATGAAAGGCTGTTTGTTCACAGAAAATGTGTTATATGGAAATATTTAATTTAATGATCATATTTGTTTGTTAGTTCATCCTGTACACTAGCTTCTCATTTTATGTAAGGTATGAGTGCCTTGAGATTAAAATTAATTCCCCATTAATTATTGCATAAAATTAATGGGTAATTGTTGCATATAAGTAGAGGTAATGTGATTTAAGGTGGTGCCTACACATCCGTAAATAGAGTTGTGAGAATTTAGCACGATGTATAAGAAATGCAGTGCATAAGGTATTTCATTCCATTCTAGCTGGATTGTGATGTGTTGCTGGTATGTGTGGGTCGACGACCATACACTGTAAACCTTGGACTTGAAGAACTGGGTATCGAACGTGATGAAAAAGGTCGCATTCCTGTAAATTCTCGATTCCAAACAGTAATTCCCAAGTATGCATATTTTCTTTAATATATGAATGTAGTAAATCATGTAAACTATTCATTAGATCTTTAATATTAGCCTTGAATAATATTTAGTCTTTTCTTTTTTTACTTAATTGCACAGGAGGTGTTATCCCAAGGTTTCTCATGATCTTCCTCTAGGTCATCTTTCTTTGTCTTCCCTCATGCTTTATTAGGGTACATTTTATTTTCTATCCTATTTTTGTTCCCCTCAATATGTTCAGAATACTCTTTTTCAAGATTTGTATGGTATTTGTCTCTAAATCTTCTGATTGATCATGCTTGTCAGTGTGAATTATTTTTTATTGTTTTCTCTATTTTAATATGTTTAGAATATTCTTATCCCAGGTTTGTCTGGGTCTTCTTGTCTTTCCTGTCATTCTTGTTTAGGACATATCTGTTTTCTAAGATAATTTTTAATTTTAGTTCCTAATAATGCCAAGTTATGCATGTTTTTGTAGTATCTATGCTATTGGAGACTGTATTCATGGACCAATGTTGGCCCACAAAGCAGAAGATGAGGGAATTGTTTGTATGGAAGGTATTGCTGGGGGCCCAGTTCACATCGACTATAACTGTGTTCCGTCAGTTATCTACACACATCCTGAAGTTGCCTGGGTTGGACGCACAGAGGAAGATCTGAAGAACGATGTAAGTATAACAGAACCAAAGTTACAGATATTGGAACCTAATGGACTACTACATTCCAGATCATATCTATACAGTCTATTACCCTAAATCCATAATATTTTATTCTGATCTCTGATTGTTCAGGTAGCCATTTAGCAATACATTTCCCCACAAAGTTCTGTTCTGTCTCTTGTATTCTTGTCACAGTCACCTGCCCTGCAGCTATAACCTTGGTTTGACAGGGTGTTCCGTATAAATTGTCGTGCACCGTCACTCTTAGGGCAAGATATTTTCTGGACCCTGCTTCTGACCCACTCCTGTAATCTAAATCCTTGGCTATAACAGTATCAACAAGGTAGTCATCTGAAGTTTTTATATTGAAACAGTACTAGTACTGGTAAATGTATGATGGTATAATGGTACAAGTAACTTTTCAAAAGACCATTTGTATTAGAGATGGAAAGTACTTGTTACTGTCTTGGTGGGGTGAGACTCTATGTCAAACTGGGCCTCTAAAGGGCCCTTTGACCATACCCCAGATGATATATATGTCTGACTGTGGAGCTAAGGTGGAGTGATGCTGACAGGAAACATGACTTATTCCATCACAAATCTCACATGAACTGAAAATAGTATCATTTATCTTTAAGTTTTAAATCATTTTATAGCGTGGATAATGACAGTGTCATAGCTAGCAGGCTGGTTTGCTGACCTGTCAGTTATAAACCCCCATCACATCATAGTTTTATGAGCCGGGATAGCTCAGTCAGTATAGTGACTAGCTACAGGCTGGACAGCCGGGGTTTGATCCCCGACGGGGACAGGATTTTCCCTCTAGCCTCTGCATACAGACCAGCTCTGGGGCCCACCCAGCCTCCTCTACAATGGATACCTACAAAGTAGGTTTGCCATTTTCATTTTTTTCTTCTTTTTCATTTTAGGGTGTTGAATACAAAGTCGGCAAATTTCCGTTTGCTGCAAACAGCAGAGCGAAGACCAACAATGATACTGATGGATTTGTGAAAGTCCTTGGTGATAAAGTGACGGACAGGCTACTGGGAGCACACATCATTGGACCTGTAAGTCAATTTGAGCCACAGTTGTAAAACTGGACTCTTACAGTTTTATATCCAGTCTCATATAAGAAGTCATCATCTTTTCAGGAGGTTGGTAGATTTAACCCCTTCTTGATCTTGATGCACAACTGGTTCATAGGTTAAAAGATTTAATGCTCTTATCCCATTAGAGAGAAAATTCCAGCACTACATTCTTTCACATTTTGGCTACATTATAGCAGATTCTGTGAACTGTGTTTTTCTTTATGTTTTATCTTAACTGAGGAACACTTTATGAGCCTGTTCTCTCTGCCTGTCTGTCATTCCTTTCATCCAGGATCATACTTCTTAATTTTCTATAGTTGATAATACCAACATGATAGGTGCTTAAAGTCATGAGATGGGACATGATGTCATTACTCATGATGCTCTGCACATTTGCTTGATGCTGTTAATGATGTCATCACCAATAATGGCATCATAATCCCTGTGTTCACCTACATGCATTTAATAAGTAGAGAATGGCTGGATGGATTTCCATAAAATTTGGTACAGACTGGTACGACTAGACTGCTCCAAACTCAATATATTTTAATTTCCTACAGTCGATAATTCAAACAAGGTGAATGCTCAAATTTGTGAGGTGGGACAGTATTCTCACCATTGCCCATGATCCTGTGCACATACATGTGACACTTCTTATGATTTCATCCCATGATATCTGTCTTTATGTGTCCAATTATTAAGAATTGTTTTATGAATCTTCATGGAATTTGGTACTGATGTCATGCAATTGGAGACTACCTCAAACTCATACTTTCTAATTTCCTGTACTCAGTAATAAAAACATGACAGATACTCAAATCTGTGCAATTGTATGATGGTGATGCCATTGTCCATGATCTTTGTGCATGCGCATGATACCCCTGATGATATTGATTACAATACTGATCATTTTCCCAGCGGTTGGGGCATGACACTGGCCACTCATCCCCATCTAGTACTGTTGTTATGAGGATCTGTACCTCAGGTGCTTTGATGGCATGTAGTGGGACAGCTTTACTTTAACTTTACAGATGAGATCAACTCAGTTTATTCCAAAATATATTAACTGTGTTTTTCTGTGCCATTATGTTTAAGTGAAGCTAATATTAGAGAGTAGGCAGTTATGCCTTTGTTAAGTGTACAGGTGCTTAGAACTGCTATTCTGCTACTTGCTGGAACACAGTTGGCATAATATATCCTCTCTTATTGATGGACAGATCATAGGTTAGATTTCCTCTACATCAGTGGTCCCCAACCTTTTTGTGCCTATGGGCACATTTGATAGTTTATGAGATTGTGGCGGGCACCAACCAATTAACAGAGCCAAATTTTCTTTTCTCTGGACAAATAAGATAATGGACACCAAATAATACACAAAACAACACGACATTTAATGATACAAGAAACCATGCAATCAAAAATACGTAAGTACCATGATTGTTACTCAAGTGGGAAGTTAGTGTGATGTTTGGCACTGCATTTAATCGGCCAGTTTTTCAAATTTGGGAGTGTAGGATGATGTTGCTGCTCGCAAACAATCGTCAAGATGGGCATCAGTAAATCAAGATCTGTACTTTGATTTTATAATGTTCATGATTGAACGACCTTCATTATTCAACATAACCTCTTTCCATAACAACGCGGGCACCCAAAAAAATCCTTGGCGGGCGCCCGTGGGCACGGCGTTGGGGACCACTGTTCTACATTGTACTCATACAAGCTGTAGGACTGCTTATGGGAGGATCAGTCTGTTGTAAGGCAGTGACAGAAGTATAGCTACAACTTTTAAAAATTTTGGTTAAATGAAGTTCAGTTATGTGAGAAAAATGTAGTAGTATATGTAAGTGGTAGTTTATATTCATGTTTTCCTACTTTGGTGTGCAGTCGGCTGGTGAACTGATAGCTGAAGCAGTGTTAGCCATGGAGTATGGTGCATCATGTGAAGATATTGCAAGGACCTGCCATGCACATCCTGTAAGTTCTCATTGGTTTTATTACTAGAGAGTGTCTTACATCACTTTATTCCCTTGCATGTGTGTGGTATATCCTTATTTCATATAAGATTTTACCAACAATATAGAAAACTATAATTCTTATATTTTATGGCTCTGGAGTGGGTCTGGAGAAAACACAGTAATGAATCTTCAGGTTTCATAAGAGGCGGGGAATTTCCTGACTAGCCGGTCAGCTATCAGCTTTTCACTAAGGATTGTGTTCCTCCATGCAGTTAGATTGTTCCTTTGTACGGGTTTGAAACTTTGTCTTGGAACCTAAAGAAAGGTATGACATATTGAGTGTGTTTTAAACACAGAGTGATGAGGATATCATTGAACCTTAGAGAAAAGAAGGAGCAGAAAGCTGTAAAAAAGTACATTACGAGGAGCTTCATTATTTGTGCTCTTCAGGAAATGTTATTGAGGTGATCAGGTCAAGGAGGATAAGAGGGGCTAAACATGCAGTACACTATAGGAAATGCTTTTAAAATTTTGGTCACAAAACTTGAAGGAACAAACCATGCTGATGATAGTAGTGATGTGAGGAAAGTATTGTGGTGGGTTTTACACAAATAGGATATTACAGTATGAATTGGATTAATTTAATTTAGGTTAAGGTCTACTGGCCAAGCTCTTGTGAGCATGGTAATGAACCTTCGGTTTTGTAAAATGTGGGACATTTCTTGACTAGCTGAATGATTATCAGCTTCTCAAAGAAAGTTTGTTGTATGAAGTTAAGATTTTACCAGCAGATAATGTTTTTGGATATTCTTTTGCTTGGGCCCAGTTTTATTTGGACTGTAGGAACAGTTTGTGCATAATATGAAAGAACAGCTAAACTGCAGTACCTATAGCACCTGAAATGCTTTTTTAAACCTGCTACTACTGCACAGAACATATTTATTCTTCCTCAGTCACACTATGATAGGAAAGGTATGGTTTGGTATGAGTTGTATATGGAGGAGAAAGACTTCAAATATGGGTGATATTGGAAAATAATATATTGAGTAAGGAGTCATGCACAGCTTATAAGTTGGGCAAGTGGCCAAGACCAGTGCATCATAAAAAGTTAGCACATTATGAAATATTAGGAAGAGTCTCTGATTTTGGCAGACTTTTGGCACAAAGACAGTCAAAGGATGTGAGATTTGAAATGTGAAAGAAATTTTAGTCAGAAAACCTCTAGAAAAGAAACCATTTGAGAGATATAGTTAAGGGTGGGAGGATAATATTAGGGTTTATCTTAATGGAGTAAAGTGTGAGGTATTAAAATGGCAGAAAATATAATTCATTTGTGGACCTAGTGAAGATGGTAATGAATCCTTGAGCTCAACAAGAACTGAGAATTTCTTGACCAGCTGTATAACTGTCAACTTTTTAATTAGAGTATGGAATTATCTATGACATGGCATGTAATTTCCATAAAAATTATGCTGTATCCTATTAGCAAGTCTTTTGTGTTTTGGCTAGAGTTTTTCTTATTTTCTTTTATATGACATGAAAGAACTTTCTCTTTGTACTAATAATTTGTCTTTATTTTCTTTTTCAGACATGTTCAGAAGCTTTCAGAGAAGCAAACGTTGCATCAGCCTTTGGAAAACCAATTAATTTTTAGGCTGATGTAAAATTTGATAAGACTTTTAACTGCAGCACTTTCCATTGGTTGATTTTACTACCCTATTTATTCAAAGGGATGTTATGGTCATTTTGTCTCATGGAGAGACAGTTGTGGCTCATGCATCTCTTGAAGTAGTGGGTTTCAGTTGGGATGGATTTGTACATTTATCAGTCGTGTTGAATTGAAGATATTCACAGTTTGAACATGTATTACAGCGGTCATTGATTTCTGGTGTCAGAATAACAAACGTGAAGTCTGTATATTTTAAACACTTTGGAAATATGTTCTTCAGACATAAAAATTAATTTAGACCCAGTAGATTTACAAAGATATCTTGTAAGAATTTAAGGGTCCAGTAAAAAAATTGCAGAAGTATGTGGTTCCACTTTAACAAACTTATACAACACAACAAAGCATGTTTGTTCATTCTTAAAACATGGCATGGTTCCATTTTCACTGTAACAGTATAAAATTATTTGAGTCACACCATTCATTTGCCAGCAAATTAAGGAATATTTTTATGTATGAAATAGTTGATAACTAAACTGGACAAAACTGGAGCCACCCCATTTTTGCACCACACCCTTACTTTATACATTGAAAATAAATTATATATGAAATTTGTATTGGAAATGTGAATTTTCATGCTCAGAGTTGGTGACAGTGAAGACCAAAGCTAAGGACCAAAGTACTTGGGGCTATGAGAAATAATTTTGGGGGAAAGAAGTGTTGTACAGCATTATACTTATTTCCTGTCTCTGTAAATAGATAACAAATTTTGTGAAAATGGTGTTTCTTTATTTGTAACTGTTTCCTCCTTATATAATGTTATTCATTTATTGGTTAGGAAAAATAACAGTAATGCTTTAAAGTTCATATTATTTTAATACAATGGAAGACCATGCAGACTGAGGGTGTTACAAGATGACATGCTGCGAAAATGTGTTGATTTAAGAGAAATAATAGCAGGATACTGGTGGGAGATGTAGAGTATGCTAGTTTGTACTCTTCACCAAATATTGTTGAGATTACCAAATCAAGGAGAATGATAAGTATGTTGGGCATGAATTGGAGAGAAGTGAAATACATACAGTATTTTAGTTATAAAAACTGGAGGTGATAATTTGGGTGAATAAGCCGTAGATACAAGGACAATACAGTAAAACCAGCCTATAATCTGTATTATATGGAAAAATTGGCCGTAAGTAAAATTTTCTCTGATTCATAAAACTCAGTAGGTGTTGGTTTTATAGTAGTATATATGTCAACAAAACCTGGGTGAGGGGGAAACTTCGACTATACCGAATGTCCCAAAAAGATGTATATTTGCCATTACATGTCAGCATTGTGTATACATCTTATTGGGAAACGTATATATTGAAATGACCAAAATAATTCTTGACTAACCAGCAAATTGAATAATTTTATGTTCGTTTTGTCAGACTCAAAATACTGAACATACCAAACGATTGTAATTGTACATAACTTGTTGCCTTTTCGTCTTTGAAATAAATTATCAATGTGTAGTTCACGCATAGAGTTAGTCATTTCTTTCATTCGACGATAGCGCTATCTGACTTACATATAAGGAACTAGTTAGTCGTGGAGTCTGGTTGTGGTGTGAGCAGGTGAATGTAGGAGTTTGTTTTGTGCGAGTAAAATGTTATGTGTTATTGATTTTCTTGTGAAATACAATGGTTGATTGACAAGAATAATATTACTGTAGGTGTTGACCAGCATGTGGACACCGACTAAAACAAAGAAATATGGCGTTGGTAAGTCAAGTCCTGAAAAAATTGCCTTCGCTGTTGTGCTGTATAATCGTTTTCAATTCAGGCAACGGCACTACTGTTAAATGCAATGACGTTTGTAGCGTTTGCCAATTGTACATGATTCCAATATTCCGTGCCTGGTGTGAAAGCTAATCAAATATTTCGTTAGCATGCACGTTCACATTAAAGAGATTAAAACCCAAGTACCTATATGTGTGTATGTAGGTTGCTATAAGAAACCTCTCGGGTTTTCATAATTTTGTGTGAAATAAATCAGGGTAATAATAGAAGTGTGAAGTGTATTGTAACAAAGCAATAAATGAACTGAGTACAACCACGTGTTACGTTTTAAAGGCGATGACTCTTCCAGTTGATTACACAGCTGTGACAAGTAAATTTTATGGTACACCCTTACACGTTACATTTTTCGTTTGAAATTATCAGGTTATACTCTCTTGATGTGTTCTATTTGGGTAGAATAACAGATAATACAAATATTGTTGACCGTGTTATTGTAGTTATTATCTAATTTCAAAAGCAGCATAATGTATTTAAGGGTATTGAAATCTGAATAAGCCTAATGCCTGTCCACATATCTAACATATGCACAACAGAAGAATAATCATTGCTTTTTTGTAGCTTTACACAATACCGGCACCTTTTTTCTAAATATAAAAATTTAGTTAAAATGTCAGACATAACCTCAAAATAATGCTACATTTTTATGCAAAAGCATGAAGGTGTGAAAACCTGTTGGTCACATTTTTGCCAGAATTAACTATGTTACTGTTATGAAAAATGGAATGCTTCAAACATATTTTATTGATAGGAGCAGAATGAAATACTAGATCAAATAAACATACTCAAAATGCTGTGGACTACAGTTATTGCAGACTAGTTTCTTCAGGTTTGTATCCTATGAAACAATAGTAAGTGATGATCAGTCTTAAGTTACTGTGTGTGAGAAGTAGTTACACTTTTATTTTGTAATTGACAGAGTGAACTGTTTTAATAACAACATGAGATGTCTTGCCATTTTTTATTGTACACCTTAACACATTGTAGACAATAAGAAATTGTCGTTTTATTTTACACTTGATATCTTGTCCTGTTTCACTACATATTTTATACACTTGTGTTCCTTTAGATCAGTTAATATAATTTAAACTATGGCAACTGGTTTGGGATTATAAGTGAACAAATGGCAGTATTAATAGATATTCTGACTAAAGTTAAATTTTATCTAACAGCTTTTAGTTGTGTAGTATAAAGAAATGTGTACGTAACAAACTTTTTATCTCATTAGGATCTGTAAGTTTTATGTTAAATATTTATTTGATTTGGTGAATATTAGGTGTATTAAATGTGACATTGTATTTAGATCTTTAAGTAAAGTACCATTCCTCTATGGGCCACAGTAAAAAAAAAGTAAAGCTGTCCCACTATATGCCATGTAGGTTGTTTGGGGGTAGACTTCAGCCCTAGATGGGGGTGAGTGGTCAGCATCAGGCCCTGACTGTGCTTTACCCCTGGGAAAGTTCCTCAGTACCCATTGTATAGGAGCTGGATGGGCCCCAGAGCCGGTCTGGATGCAGAGGCTAGAGGAAAAATCCTGTGCTATGGGCCACTGTGTCTGTATTGCCAGCATGTAATGGCCTTCAGTATCAAATTACTTTGAAGTCTGAAGACAGGTTTAAGGGTTGAAAGACGACAGTATTCTGAACATATTATTTCAGATATACTGATTTGCAAATAGCATGACAACATTCAAAGATTTAAAGAAATTGTGGTTCAAGTTACCAATAAACGGAGTCGTGCTTCATGTGTTGGAATGAAGATGGAGAAATGCAAACCTTATTTCTGACATTTGGAATGATTTTATTCTCTATAGTTATGATTTTAGGTGTTATTTACGCTCTGGCGTCAAGTGGGAGTAGAACTAATGGGACCGCGTCTTTCTTGCCGAAGACGGTGTGTTGTCATCTATCGATGACCTTAAACTAGTTTGAGCCAACAATAACTGGGAACGGATTTTCGTGAAATTTGTTATGGACATAATGCCATTTGAGGCCAACAAAAATCGCAGTTATTCGGGTGTTTTTCGCACTCTAGCTTGAGCGAAGAACAACCAATGAGACTTCGTTTTCCCTTGGAATTGCTATAACTCGAGGTCATTTTTTGAACACATTGTTGTAACAATCAGCGATGTGAAAATGGGCAATTGTTGGCTCACATTATTTCAACAGTGGCCCCGGATCACATTAAAACAACTACAGTCGTTTGTTACGTCTTGGTTGTTATCCTGACGTCAACACCCGTTTGTGGCGTGCAGAATACATTTGGAATTACAGTATGCTCCAAAAGAGCGCACAGTTCCAAGCTTGTTGGTTTACCACGGTAACCAATGTGATGAGTGGCAGAGTGGAGTGCTGATGACGCCGTTACGCATAATTGTGTGCGTGACCCCCGACGACGTTATTGGCTTTGATGACCGGATGATGTCCGTCTGTACACATATAATAAATAACTCGAGAATGGCTGGATGGATTTTCATGAAATTACTTTTGAACATTTTGATGTTTGAGGCTTCTCCAAATCGTACTTTATAATCTTCTATAATTAGTAATACAAACGTGGCGGATATGACGTCATTCCCGTAATTGCGCGTGCCTGGTGTCCCCTGACGACGTCAGTCTTGATTGAGTGATGTGTAGATATCGTTAAAAGGTGTGCTCATAGAACACTTTGAAAAATTGTATGTGGTTTACTGAAAGAAAAGTAATATCTGTCACGTTTCTGTTTAAATGTACATGGTGACAAATGCTATGCTCGTAGTGAGCTAGGATTGCTCAGTCATTAAAGTGACTGTCTATAGACTTGGTGGCCGGTGTTCGGTTCCTTGAAGGTTCAGGTAGAGACTGGCATTGGAATAATATGGCAGTGGTCAAGTAATCAAACATTTGTGACTGTAAATAGAGAGTTCATACTTAGTCCATGCTGGAAATTATTCTGTTACGTGCCCTTTGCCAACCAGGTTTTCAGCAGTCTTGACTTGCATTCAGGAGGAGCTCAGTTCGCACACTGGCTAATGAACGGAGAATATGCGTACTTCATAATGAGAACCGTTATGATTTACACAGATACCCGGTATTATAAGGCGTTGATATCGTGGAGGTTGGATGGACCAGACATGCAACTCATAGAGACAAGAAATGCATAACATTTATGTGGTGACACCTGCTGGGAAGTGTCCGCTTGGAAGAACTTGAAGGAGATTCACTGTGTTGATCAAGAAATTTCTTTCCTTTACTTGAGTACTGGGAACGACCCGTTCTTCAAGTTCCTGAGCACTGCGGGTCCCAACTTTTCGTTGGCTTGATCTATAGACATTCGGTAGGACTCCTTGGACGAGTGATCGGCCCGCCGCAAGGCCTCTACCTGTACACAGGACAGCACAACACAGAGAAACGCGGACAAACATCCATGGCTTGAGTGGGATTCGAACCGACGGTCCCAGCGACCATGCGGAACAAGGCCCACGCCTCAGACCGCGCGGCCACTGCGGTCCCCTCTTTCCTTTCATGGAATAAAAATATTCATTGTCAAGTAATTAATGCCCATTAATCGTGAAAGAGGTAGTGAGGGTTGAAGGCTGGCGGAACTTAAGTTTATTTGCGTAGATTTTGAAACATGGCAGAGGCACGTATCCTGAGCCGTATTCTGTGCTATCAGCTGGTATCAGTCTCTTATCAGCTAGTAAATAAGCATCCTGAAGAATGATATGCCTCCTGCCATTATGTTTTGTGACTGTAGCAGATTCCATGTAAGCCGCGACATGACTTATTTCTCAAGGTGAATTAAATATTAATACGATGTAGACCCTATTTCTGGATGGTGCCGATTGTAAAGCCAATGTTTCGGAGAACCATATTGTGGCCATCTACAAGGCAAAATTACTACCTAGTGATGCCTACACATACTTCAAGTACACGTCTACACGTCGATGGGAATTACATTTAATCCCCTGGCACTATCCGATAATAAAACAACCCCAACTCACCCCTTGTGTTGTATTTTCTCCTGCCTTCCACGTTTCTTCCGCTCTTTTTTCTATGCCCGGTTTCCCCCTTGACTGCCTGCACCTTCCATGTCGGACATTCATCGTTTCCGACAACCGCTCAGACCTTTCATTCACCCCTTTCAAAAAGGGACTGGTTCTTTTCATCTTAAGATCTCCGAAGCATTGCCAGTGCAGTCCAAATCTATGCAGTCCTATCACCCAGAAACTTGCACCACTGATCATCCGTGAAAGTTTGAAACTTTTTTTGTTTTTTGCAGGGCCTAATTACCCCACGAAGAAGGCATGTAGGTAAAAGTCTTCGTTGACAAAATACTTTGTTTGTTTTAAGGACAGTGTGTAAAAGGGAATAAGGTGTGCACGAGAGATGCTGTATTTCTGTAGACAAATATTTGCTTGGCCCTTGACCATTTGGGTAGGGAACCCCATTATCTGACATTTCAAAGTTTTTTATGTCGTATTGAACAGTAGGTTCACTTAGAACAAAACGAAAATCACATGATATACTTTTACTTTCTTATTAATAATCTTATTATTTAATGCTATATGTTGCACATCACGTTTGATATTTTCTTATTCAACGTAAGTGGTATTAGAAAAGTTGAATCCTAAATCCTCATGAAAAAAAAATTATGACGTTGCTTGCATGTTCAGTGTAACGTGTTGTCCAACGTAACACACATTCTTGTCTGCACTGAAACTTATAATCCCCAGTACGTCGGAAAAGTGTTCATGAACTTTTCGAAATATCCCACGAGATAAATTAGTAGGTTTTTAGGTCACCGGTTGCATTAGCAGTTCTTATTGTGACATGATGTGTCTCAAGTGATCAGTGTCATGCATTGGGCTACAAGGTCAGTTTCTTCGGCGAGCTGCTATTTTTTAAGGACTTCGTTGAAAGTCGTTCTCAGCCACAGATCTTCAG